AGAAGGCTCCAGGCACATCGAGCCCGATCCCTCTGTATATTCTTCTTTGGATCTGGAGTAGAAGCCTCGTATGACCGAGAAATTGCGAACGCATGATGCAGCCTTCCAGTGAGAAACCTTCGCTGCATTGTTTCAGCAGCACTCAGAACCTTCTGGGCACCTCTTACACTCCCTGCTGCATCTTGCACTTTCTTGACAGCTCGTGCAGAGGCCAACGCAGATCTGGCGGCTTCAGTTTGCTTACGCCTTTTCAGTTCCCTCAGCTCCTCTTCAAGGGCATCAGCATCAACGTCAATGTCCACATCATCACCAATCATCATGTGATTGGGTTTCAGAGTTGCCACTGTAAAACTGAGACAGCGGCATGAACCATGGCGGCTATTGCCTGTCAACCCTGTGAAGAGGATAAGGCATGGAACACACTCACCTTGTCATGTCCTCTTCACAAGTGAGTTGGGGTGATATCGGTAACGGTGGTCGTGTGTTGGAAAATGATCGGGATTCGGGATACTTAATCTCCTGATTCTGAACCTGAATCACTACACAAGACCCAGTCCATCCACCCGGTGGAGAAAACATGGAACCAAAGTCCAAAGTACTGCTACTAGTGAAGGAACCCATTTCACAACAGGACCAGGACATCGCCAACTTGGATTTTACATGGACATCAGGGGAGGCGCCACCCAGCTAATGTCAATGCAGATGCCCTACTGCACATGTTTTGACTGGAAAAATTCAGAAAAGTGGCTGCCACACCTTAAACTTAAACAGCTGCGTATCGCTGATCACTGAGGCTTTCACAGATCAACGCATTCGAGCCCCATCGAACCTCCATACCTGTGCAACCAAAGGTGCCTTGTACAGGTCGAAAAAGTCGTTCTTGTGTCGGCTCTTGGCGCGGAAGCGGGCGTAAACACCATGCACCTGACAGAGAAACAGGCTTGTTTGGTTTAGTGCTTTGGTTCGACTCACTGAATCATATGTTTGATCTTGAGTCATTGCCTAATGTTGAGGCATTTGACCTCTGTTTATTATTGAGCCATTGGCCATTGGCAATTAGAATCTCTCCAGTCGCCTGAGTCTATTAAAATCTTTAATAGTCTGTAGACGTCTGTCCGGAACTAGGGTTCTATGTGCATGACTCGACTATGAATCTGAATCTCTGTTGACTCTGACTCTTACTTACGGCATAAATCAAGTCAGGGATGTGCTTAGCAATTGTTAAGAAGGGTGAAGCACCAAACCCAACCGGAAGAAAGACCCACATTAGCAGAACATTGCCTTGCGCACGCCTTTTTAACTCTCGCAACCCTGGAGTGGGGAGAAAAGCGACCCGGTCCAGCACAGCAAACCAGCCGTGCAAGGGTAGTAAAGGGAGGAAACCAACCACCCCAAACTGACCTAAAAGGTCGCAACGAATAAGCACCCCCTTCAAAAAAGGAGAGGGCGGGCGGGGTCAAAAGAAAGAACAGACACAGCCAAGCAAAACACCGTGGCGGAGGTTCACACAACCGCCATCAAACGTTGCCCAAGTCCATGAGCAACCCCACTTGGCTGAACTCATGTATTCAATCAAAATGGTGACCAGAACATCAAACCAACCGATTGGAACAAGTCATTGCAAGCAAGTCCCCGTTTGTTGTACGCTCGCGTACACATCCCAATCAAATCAAAACAATAACTCATCATGACTCGAATCACAGCCACATAGCCGGGGCCGCGTATAATTCCGCATGTGGAGGCATTTGACATTCAATCAAATAATGAAAATGAAAATGGAAGTGAAGACTTGGGGCTGCAAGGCCAAGGCCTTTACCAAAACATTCAGCGGCAAAGGAGGGATGCATAGCCTAGCCCACACCTAGCCCTAATTTTCCTGGCCTCCTCAAGCAGCACAACCTTTGGCCGCCTCTCACCTGAGAGCCAGCATATGTGACATATGAATATGGCCCAGGCCCATCCCATATTATGCGTTCGGCTCACCAACTCACCCCTTTAGTGCATCATGGCAAGCAGTCATTCTGGACCAGCTTTCGGCTTTCTCATATAGCTTCTGCCTTCAGCTACTTGATTTGACTGGACTCTACTGACTACAGTGAACCACCATTTGACTTAACTTAGACGCTGTAGACCCGGGTCCCTTAAGCCTTAATCTTAGATCAGACGAGTCTCGCACATGGCGGCAGCCATGGATGAACGGCTGAGCTCCTGCTTCCTCAAACGGGTTGTACTCGTATTCCTGGTGCTTCTTGTTGTTCAAGACACTGTAGGGACAGCAAGGCGGCCCAAAACAGAATAGATCCTGCACTAGTGCTGGTATCAGGTGTTTGTCAAACAGGTGTAGCCTGCAGGAGAAAAACATGTTGAACGCCTTGAGTGATGGACCATGGACTAGTTTTGGAAGTTTAGTAGAGGGAAGGGCAAATACATTCAGGTGGGAAGTGGAAGTGGTGCACAAGGCAATGCAACGTGCAGCACATTGCACACCAGTTGCACACATAGGATGACTGGCAATGACTGGTTCCAAAAAGACCCCCAGTGTCCTCCGACTCTGTATCGAGCCTGCACTCCTTCTCATTCAAAACGCAGAAGCCCCCATTCACTCCATGGGTGATGTCTTTGAAGATGTGAGTGACTCAGTACACGCATAGGCCAATGTCAACAAACATGTTTCCGCTGTCACTGTACAGTGTCAATCACCTACATCAACATCAGATTGGTTTGTGAAAGGCAAGGCAGGGTCTGGCGTAGAGGCAGTGTTCAATGAGAAAGCACATTCCTTCATAACGCATCATAACTAACACTGTCTAAATGCTGGAGAGACTCGGTGCGTGCGGTCATAGTTCTGATGCATGAACTTTTGCTTCAACCAGTTGTTTTCCAACGCAGAAGACTTGAAGCGAAAATCAACTCCCATCGCTTGCATCTGCTTCTGGATGTCACGCCTTACCACAAAGATTCAGGGTCAGACCTGGACAACTCATGTTTCACATTGTGGTCTCTAATTGGTGACTCTGACTCCCCCATATCTTTGTCTACTGGGTGCCTTTCTCATTGTTCTTGAGTCATTGATTTGATATTTGATTCCTTCTTTTCTGACTACTTCCCATGACCCATGGCCCTATTGGTGTTGCCAAGTGTCAGGATGTATGTACCAGTACCAGCACCAGCGCAGCCCTCCACGACGTCCACCACAGGTGTTTGATGCGGTCCCCTGAGTGGAAGACAATATTGGCGTCACAGGGCCACAGTAATTTGTTTGTCAAGTTGTGGATGGCAAATGGCATCGCATGGTCATGAGTGTCATGAGCCATCAAGCTGGCTGTGTGTTGAAGAGTTCTTCGAAAACTAATGAGTGCCATGCCCCAGACCCCATAGCTGACTAGCCATTAGTACAGTACAGTACAGTACAGTCCAATTTGCATAGTCAGCACATGTCAGTACCGTTTTGGCCTTGGACGAAGCCAGCTTTAAAAAACTCACTCCTAGCCCAAAACCCCTCTTGCCCAAAGCAGGCTGGTGAGTGAATCTGAGCCTACACAGTCAAACACTCAAACACTCACACTCACACTGTCTCACACTGGATTGATACTGATTGATCTCTCTGCTCTGCCCTTTATCCTTTTTGCAACCAAAGTGGCGCAACAGGAACAGGCTCCTTCAGGCTCAGGCCAGGAGGCCAAGGTTTGGATCCATCCAGCCTCTCAAGCGCCAGCTTTTCACCAAAGAGCTTGGCCCAGTTGAGAGGCGCTGGTCGAAGTTCATCAAGACTTCCCCGTACATCACCCATATCGGATTCCCTCAGATAAACTGAAGCTGAGGTATTGAAACCGATGCAGCCTCAAACAACCCAATGGAGCATCCTCAATGCCCCCTTGCTATGGCTTGCACTGGTCTGGTAAATTGCGTTGTCAGTCCCTGCACTTGAACAGGATAGTAAAAACCATATGCAGTACTATAATAGTTGTTATCTATATAATAATTACTATAGATAGTGCCGATAGTGACAACTAATTTTGTAACTATGAACTATGCTGTGCTTGACCCAACGCAGTGGAAAGCCATGCCAAACATGACCAAAGCTTCAGGTCAGTGTCACTGTCCATGGCCAAGCGAACAGGGCCAAAGCGCCCAGGGCCATACGCCATGAGGTGGCGTGCACACCTAAGCCTACTAAGTCTCACCAAGCAACACTGCCTGGTCTAAACTGGATCCCTCGTCCCTGAGCAAACAAAATGCACAAAGAGTGAGAGCGGTGAGAGCTCAAGCACACAACAAAAGTCATCACAGGATCGACGAGGATCGACGTTTCTTTGGATGCTGCTTTGACTGGGGTGCCTAAGTGGGAACATGGTAGTGCTTCATCAGCCTCAAGGGCAGGATGGTGGTTGTGGTCAGATTGGGGATTGGAGGTGGCTTAGGTAGGTGTGGTCTAGTGGAAATGTTTCTTGGCGTTGGAGCTGGAGGTGGTGCTCCTGTTTGGTTTGCCGGTGCGGGTAGTGATGTTGGCAGCAGTACTCTCGGTCTTGTTTGAGGCTTGTGGTGGTTTGTGTCATGTGGGAATAGCAATAAATTGAGTAATTGTTGCATTGAGTAGGGGTTTGTTTGTTCTAGTGAATCACCGAAACATCCGTTGACAATAGGTTAACACATTTACAAATAGTTTCACAGGGATTTATAAATAGTTTCACATGATTCATAAATAGTTTCAAGGCTGCCCCCCCCCAGCAACAGACATACTGTTTAAAGAGGCCCCAGCACCCCTTAACGTATATATATATATATAGTGTGGATATGTGTGGATACATAGTTCTACCCATTGGTACATAGTTCTACCCATTGGTACCAAGCAGTCGGGTCCAGGTTGACCCTCACCGACCCTCACTGCACGGCCGCTTGTACGTCCAACGCCCCGCCCCTCGTCCCGCACGCACCGTCCTGCGCGGTACCACGTACACGCGGAGACCGCGGAGACCGCGAAGACGACCAGACCGAGCATCGAACATGCTGAGCGCCAGGGGCTTCACGGTGCCAGGGATCAAACCACAAATGGATTCCACCTTATACTGCGATGGTCCATCAAAGCATGGAGTTGGAGGAGAAGCCCGAGAGGTTCCGAGACGCTTCTTGGGGTCGGGGGGAGTTGGTGGAAGTACGTACTTCGGGATGAAGGAACTGTTGGGTGGAGCAGGCTCTCTCTCTCCTATGGGAAGTGGATAGTGGATTGTGAAGGGTGTTCGAAAGTTGATCAAGGTAGTACTGATCATTGATGTCTTCCCTGCACTTGACCCAAATGATCCAGCATAGATCATTCCACTCAAAGGTCTGCGGATCCCAACGAGCTGCGCGGTGAAAGTACTGTCACAGTATGTCACAGTAGGCTTTTCGAAGCACAGCGAGCTGTCCAACACTTGATCATGCCGCAGTCCATCAGAGATCATCCGAAAATGCTGGGAGGACACCTGCACTATCTCTTTGGGTTGCAGTTCGGAAGGGATCTAAGAAGGGGTATACGTATATATCCGGTGCAGATCGCACCTTAAGGAACTGTCCAAACTGCTTGCTTGGACGAGTTCCACCGCCTTACTTACACCGCCTTGTGAAAATCGACGTGAAAACAGGTTCCACTTCGTTTCTTGGACCGTGACCAAGGTTCTACTAGTAGGTCCAGCAACAGGACTGGCGACTGCTCGTTGAACTTCTTCTCGTGGACGGGAAGTCAGTCCAACACGGACCAAAAGCGACTCCATGTGTTGCCCGATTTTTGGGTCGGACCCAACCTCTTTGCAGCCCTTTCCATTGGTTCGGGCCCGGATTCTTAGAGTATAGATTTCTTTACTGTACCTTAAATGCTCCAAACAGCCCTTGGCCCCGCAAAACTGGATTGTTGACCTCCCCCCTCTGAGGGTCCAGGGTCTCTGGGTGGTGCTTCCCACTGAGACACCCCCGCTCATCAAGACAGAACCAAGCTACGAAGATGGGTAGCAAGTCCAGGACCACTCGCTGCATGGCCGTCAGCGCTAAGAAGAGCACTGAAATCAGGGTGAGCTGAAAGACCTGTGGACCGGCTGGACCTGTCATGAGTTCGATGATTGGTCATGAGGTGATGTTCATGTTTGACGACATAGATCTTTCTACTTTCTACTGTGTCTTTGATTGTTTTTGGAAGTCCAACGAAAGACACCCCAGTGGGTTCGGGTGTTAACTTGCTTTTGTTTGCTTAATGCTTACCAATGGTTCTTGGGCTACAACGAGGTCCCTCACAGGAACCCACTACGAGTCATCTGAACAGGCCGGTTTGGGCCTCTTTCATGGTTTCATTCTATCTGATGACAGACCCGTGAAAAAAACAAAACAAGACCACTTCTCATGGAATTGGCTGAATCATCGTGATCTGTGAATTACGGAGGTCCTTTACATCCTGTACTTCACACCTTTACAAAGAGAAAACGAACGAAAACTCTGCACCAAAGGCGTGTCCATCTTTCATGGGGGTCGGAACGCGGAGGTCTCCAGACCAACTCGATCCTCTCGGACTTGCCTGTCCGGCTGGCATATACATAGAAAGGTCTGTCTGTGCAAGAACGATTGAAACAGCTTGAGCATTGGCAGAAGAGTGGGTTGTTCATCCATTTACAAGATCACTGCCTGCAGATTAGGAGGAAATCATAGGAAATCAAATAAACTTTACAAATTAGTTGGAACAAGTTCAACCTCGAATAGTCTTCGATGCCTTGGTCCCATATTCTTCGGAGAGTTTCAGAGATTCACCTGCTTCCTCAAACAAGAACACACTCCTGTCCCGGCACATCGTGTCGCGAAACAGAAGCAATTCCAGTTCGTTGATTCTTTGACACCCCGTCGGCCCGTCTCTTGAGGAAGACTCAGCTTGGAAATCTCCCACAGACCAGACCAGACCGTGAAAACCGTTCCCTTGAGCGGTCGGTGTCATGTGTTGAGTGCTAACAAGAAGCTACTAGGTTGTCGGGGGGCACTGGGTGAACCGAGCGGCCAGCGAGCCGCTCTTGCCGAAGATGCGGCACATGAGCGAGCCGAAGGTGGTGACGCCCAGCATGCGGCCCAACTTCACCAGAAGGACCAAGGTCACGTCCTGATGTGGGGGTACACCACAACGACCCAGGGCGGACTCCAACGCGAGTTGGTTGGAGTCCGCATGGTTTGTTGGAATGATCTGACTCTCAAAAGCGAACACGAAAGACTTTCGAGATGCGAATACACTTTGACCAGGTAACCCCCGTTCAACAAAACAAACTGGACTCCCCTTGATCCAAAATATGCAGAATTCCTACCTCTTCCCTGCTCCTACCTCTTGCTCATCGGCTTCTGAATTCACCCTCCCCAAAAATTTAACGACCCACTCCGTGGTGACTGCCAGCACCAGCAGCAGCGCGGAGGCCATCTTGGGGCCACAGCAAGCGAAGACATGGGGCAAGGTGAGGAGCCCCGTGCCCATGGAGGTGGCCGCCAGGTTGAGGGCTGTCGAGAAGGGCGTCCCTGACGAGTTCGCAGGTTGGCACATGGGAATTCTGCCCTGCACCAAATCCCACACACTCCATGGGACTGCCATATATGCCGCCCCATTGACCCCCCAAACAACCCCTGGCCAGATCGGCATATGTATGGCAGTCCTGTGGAGCGTCTGGGAATGAGTCTTTGGTGATGGGCCATGATGTCCCCTTGATGTCCCATGATTGTCCCATGAGGTCCCTAGCAGTGGAACTTCGCACTGTTGGGGAATCAAAGCGATTCCACGAGCCCGTGGGAACATCGACACAGGTGTATCAAGAGTTCCTATCCTGATCGTAACGCTGTCAGCGAGATAGACATTTCGTGCTGATTTGGTCGGCTCTGCAGTCCGGCATTTGGATCCGGTCGCGTTTGGATGCGTTTGGCGTTTTGCTCATCCTCCGGAAGCAGCGTTGGAGTACGCATTGTCTACACTCGTGGACGCACGTGCCAACCTCCGCTGCGTAAGGGCCAACCGTTCCAAAGAGATCAAAGAGCCGGTCTGTTTTGAGCGAGGCGGTCAACGGCCGGGAGGCAGTCCTATGATTGGCATGTACCCATTCTAGACATGTCTGTCTGCCGGTCGCTTCAGCTTGACGTCACTCATTTGGTGCGTGTCTCCCCTTTGACACCCAGCCTGTACCAGACTGAACATCGGCCACCTTCTTCTCCTTAGATGAACGGTTCCACATGCTAACACCAAGGTACTCAAAAATTCGACCCAGGGCGGATTTGTTCGGAATCAGTCAGAAAATGGCCATGAAAGAATTTACAAGAATACCATATATACAGTACATACGAAGATATGAAGTCCCTGCACCCCATGAGCATGAAGCTCAACCAACGCGAAAGATCCATGTTGAGAAGATGTGTTGCATTGAGAGTCGTTGGTTCGTAATAGTACGTTGTCTGTCCTTTCAAATTAACTGAACCGAATGCTAAAATATCACAAAAAGTGGTAACAATGCTAAAGATCCTGACATTGTTGTCTGACAGAGGATTCAACAATATAATACATATTCAACATGCCCAAACAAATCCCGAAAGTAGACAAAACCGTGCAAACCCGTAACTTTTTCAGCTGATTGTATGGTGGGTAAACTGAAGCGCCAAAAGATGACAGGCTCTGAGATGGTTGGCAATGGTTGCACGTGTAGCGCTATGTTCTTTTTTTCCGCAAATGATTGAAATGCTAGGAAATGCTTATCTCCTACGCGCATGATCTCGGTCGAACCCCATAGCCACCTTTAAACGGACGATTTGAATGTAAGTTCTGTGTTTGGCGAAAAGCTGCAAAAAGGGCCCAGAGGGAGTCATGAAGGACCAGTTATCTGCATAGCGAAAAGGTCGCTGGGTGGTGCAGGTGATAGTAAGGGGCCGCAGACACTGCGAACATACCGAGAGTGCGTCACCTCTGGTAAGCCAGTGGTAGATACCATGATGTGTTCGCTACGATTGGTTGACATCAAATACTCTTGTAAGCTTTTCAAGTCCTGAAACGGCATATACTTATATACTAACTAAATAGATCTAAATAGGAGCACTGACTGATTTCTGATTGGTTCAAAAAAAAGTGTTTGTCCGGGCAGGCCCACAGAAAACAGCTGTGTGTAGTTAGATCATGGAGGGTGGGGGGTATATCCTTTCTATCCAAGACCTGATAGGGCACTTCTCATTGAAACTTGATTTGGCACGGCGTGGCAACATATTGGAGGCCTTCTTATGATCATGGGAAATGTGCATTGCAGAAAAAGTTAGATCCTCAACAGCCCGCTTCAGTTATCAGGGAAGGCCTTGCGACCAACCGTCAACAAAGAATTTGGTTTGTAGCTCGACGATGGCAAAAATATGGTGAAATATTGCTTCGTAAGGCTTCAACTTCGTAAGAGTATTCTATAGTCCTCTTTGGAACTCTCTTTGGACTATGCTGCGATCACGTTGAGGTAGCAACTGATAGTCTGGTTGCGCCAGAGAAAACGCGTGCGCTTGAAACAGGCCTACCGAGCCGCAAAACCGCACTAAAACCGCAGAGTGGGATGTGGCTGGTCATTGACTGGAGCCCGCCCAGGCGTCCGGAGCCCGGCCGAATGGCCGGTGAACTCCTCGGACCTTCGGGGGTCCGGAACCGGCTTCCCGGGATCGGACCGGGAAAGGCCTGGTGGGTTTGAGCGGGTCGTCAAATGATCTCCAGTCAAATGTGTGAACATGTGTGTTCTTCTGTAAAAACATGAAAACTGCACGTCCTCTACAAACAGGGGGGTAGCATCCACTTCCATTGTGTGTTGCCGGGAGGGTGTCCACCTCCCTTCTAAAAAGCGCGGCGAGTCACTGGAAGTAGAGGTGCCTTCATCTCTGGTTCCATGCGCCGACCGGCACGGGCCCCCGGCGCACGACCACCCCGGATGAGCCGGGGCGGAACTCCACCCGAGAGAAGCAGCGGATGCAGCGGTGGCAGCGGGGAGCTGCCATCAGCGCAGGAGAGCCATGACCCGTGCCATGACCCAGTTTTGCCCGTTTTTCTGGAAGATCCCCGGTGTTTCTTTGTGGCGCCCCACCCTTTTTGAAGCGGTCTTGGGGAAGGACGTCAACCACCCTCCAATCATGCGGCCGACCAGACTGGGCAGCACTGCCGTCGGTTTCTTTTCACCACATCCACTGACCGCGCGCCATAACAAGGTCATATTCAGCTGCTGCACAGCCATGTGCTCATTCCCTCTCGTGTACAAACCGGCAATTCTCTCCTTGGCTCACGAGTCATGTGGCATGTCTCATTAAGTATGTCAAAGCACTCCTCTAAGGAGAATGAAATTAGAACCCAAATGCAATGTATAGGTCGTATTTATCATCCATAAGCTTTTGAGAATATGGATGTGGCCCCAGGTTGCCCACCTTCTGGCACATTCAGATGTCGTCGTTCCACAGGAAAAGGACTCCGGTCGAACAGCAACATGATATCCTGACTGAAACAGCAACCATGGCAGCTGTAACCTGACCGCTCTCCCTCTCCCTCTCTCTCTCTCTCTCCGATACGTTTCGGGCATTCCATGTGGTTTCTCCACTCATTCCATGCCGGGTCGCCCCATGTACAGCGGCCATACTGAAATTGTCTGCAGAGCCTGCGCTTTCCGGAGTCGAGAACTGGTCGTGCGTTGATGAAAAACAAACATCCAGCACCCGACTCTACAGGTCTCCGAAATGGAGGTTTGTTGGGCTCTAACGGGCTTCAATTGGTGACCTGTAGAGTCGGGTGCTGGTTTGCTTTAGGTTGGATCTGACCGTCTGTTCCAAACCGCAGCGAAAGCCGCTCCCGACGATCCAACCGGTGTCGGGTCTCGCATCGGAAAGGGCTTTGCTTCGGGTCCCTGGTCGTCCTGCGAAGAGAGAGGGAGGGAGAGGAGGAGAGAAGGGGTCCGACACATGAACCGGGCGGAGGTCGCGCCCCGGGCGGATTCTTAGCGAAAAATGAGGTGTCTCAGAGTTGGGTCTCCACCTCAACCTCTGAGCTGCTTTGGACCAGCTGGCGGGGAGGTTTTGGAGGTCTGGTTTGGTGAGGTCTTGGTCCCACCGCTTCGAGGAAGCCGGAACCGGTTTGGTTGCGGAAGTGGCCGGAGACTGGTATATTGATTGTTGTGTAATTAATGCATATTTCTGGACTGGGACTCCAGGTGAAGCAGTTGAAGCTATAGTGGCCGGAGATTAATAGGCAGACCAGGAAGAGCCTTATGTTCCTATGTAGTAGCAAGATGGGACAAGTTCATGGCTGATTGTATCTATCGTCGAACCAGAAAAGAAATCGCTGGCAAAGCAACAAGACGGCCTCATCTGCTTTGTCAACGAAAAGAACCGTTTTTCGTTTCAGCGCCCTTTTCAATCGACCCCCAGTTCGATCGCCGGCGCAATGTGCACCGGGCTGCGGTGGTGTTTCTGGACGGGAGGGAGATATGGGATGTGATGTTGACTTGATGATTGACGATTGATGAATCAAATTCCGGCAGAAATCTGTTAGAAATGCTTTTAGACCTTCAGGCTGGACCCGGGACCGATGAATCGATCATCAACCTGAGCGCAGCAGACCAGACTCTCGGCGTGGCTTTTGATGTAAAAAGTGGCCAGCTGGAAGACCGAAAGGTGTAATCCAGCCAGGTGACTTGCCGGCTGTAGGAGTCTTATATATTCTTATACAAAGTAAAAACTAAATGAATCTTGTCAAAAGGCAAAAAGTTGGTCTAACTTCTAATCTATATATGTATATATCTGAACGCTTTGAGATTTCGTTGGTCAAAGTTGATGCTTCAGTTGGTGACCTTGGCCTCACTTGGTTGGATATTGTGGACCTGATACCCCCGAAACAGCTCGTTTTCCCAGTGGTTTCCAGCCGCCACAAGCAAATAGACTACGTGGCTGCTAGGTCTACAGTCGACGTCTTTGAATGGTCTTTGGAACCAGTGACAGCTTGCCACCTTATCCTTACAAATAATGAGGTAAGTGCACTCCCCGCCAACTCCAGTGCCTGCTACCACCTTTGCCACCACCATAGCCGCCGCCCTGCCAACATGGATAGATTCCAAAACACCGGCTGACTGGCGAATCTGAAGACGCTACAAAGCCAAAATTTTTCCCGCGACAACAAATGTCAAACACCCTCTAATGGTCGTCATTACCCCTGCACGTGATCCCATGGACTGTGAAAATGGACCCCTTGTAAGAAAAATGTTCATCTACCACCCAGTGGTTTTCAGGGTCCATGTCAATTTGCAGGGGATAAAAACCCGTGTTGTGCGCCGTGTGATGGAGTTGGGTGGTTTTGGAGAGACCACTAGGTTCATTTGCAGGAGAGTAATTCGATTGAAATTGAAAATTGACTCCACTGCGTCTAGCCCTGAGTGGAATGGCCTCTGGCTCCTTGTTGGCCCCAGCACCCCTGCCATAATTGCGAGAGGTTACTTAATCCTATGTTGACATTTTGCCCAAAGGGAGCCATCTGTCATTCTCAACCCAAAAGGTTGGTATCGGTTGGGGGGGTAGCATATATAATATACATATAGCACATATGAGAATGGGCATAGGTCAAAGCCTGAAATCCGCAAACCGCTTGATGATCTTGATGCCCCTGCAGTCTGATTGGTTTCTGTTTGGTCGTCCGGTCAACAACAGTTTCAGGGGAACCCTGTGCCCATCGGCCGATCTGCCCTCATGATTCTTGAACACTTGCAATCAAGACACCCCAAAAAGACCTATAAACGCGAACCGTAAACGTACGAGACTTCAGGTTGAAACCAAATCTCTGCTGACCTGACCCCAAACTAAAACGATGCGACCTGACCCCAAAACGACCCACCAGCCCCACCTTTCCAAAGGGAGGGCCGCTCGGCGGAGGGGGTCCCGGCCTCAATCCAACCGTCCGAAAGACTCCGGATGCGTGGCTTCAGGAGTCCAAGAGAGAGAGAAAGAGAGAGAGAAAAAGAAGAGAGAGAGAGAGAGAGGGGGGGAGGTAGTATAGTATATATTATAGAAAAGAATAGAAAAGATATATAAGTACAGTAAGTTGCATGGTTGTATTGACTGATACATATGTCCGTGTATATATTCACTGGGGCATGGCAGGGGTGGCTCCAAGCGGTATATGAGGATGGTATCACAATCCTGCCCCCGCCGCGGGCCGCAACTCCGCGGCGCCCTCCCAGCGCTTGCAGTCGCATAATAAGCAACATTGATGTTCTGAGGTTTTAGGGGGTCTGTGGACGCACTGTTCAATTGCCCTGTCTACTTTCAACCATTGCGTCCAAGGCCAATATGAACCGAGGGAAGCCTTCAGCGATGCATTGCTCGATGTTACCACCGCCATGACAGAGAGAACAAAGCGACGAAAGCAATTGTTGCATTTGGGAATCTCGCTGGAGCGGCGCAAGTTTAACCCATTGCGAACCATGCTTAATTTGGTCTCGGGTATCTTGCCCCTCGGTGTGTAAAAGGCCGTGAACTTGCAAGTGAGAAGCCTCATATATACCTGGACCATCCAAGGGGTGTCCAATGGAAGCCTATAGGTAGTGTGGGGTAGTCCATTGGACACCCCGTGGATGGTCCTGGTATATATATATAGTATATGTGACGTGTCCCAGATACGAATTGAGCGGTCGGTTGATCGTGAAAGCACCTCCGTCCAGCCACGCAATAGTTGGAATATCAATCACTTGGCGCAGTTCCCTCTTGCCGGAGCTTGAAACACCCTGATTGTTCAGCGCGCCCGTGTGCTTATCATGGAACGTTGACCAGCAAAAGCAGTCCTAATCTGAGGCGTCGTGGGGAAGCCACAGACATAAAGGCGCCATACACGATTGGAACAACATGGTTTGGTTGAGCGGTTTCAGCCCGCGAACGCTATGACCAATCCTTGTCTTCAGTCCAGTGATAAGCATCTTGCTGATGCATTCTGCCATTTGCTTGGACAGCGGCCATGCTTGCGATCTCTCGCGCCTTGCCGCAGCAACACGATGGAAGCCATCCATGAAATGCCAACGTTTTGGAGCCGTCCTTGATGACCTCGTCGCAGTGCTCCGATTGATTAGAAAAACACCTGCCACCATGGTCACAAAGGCCCCAGCAGCGGCTTCTTTTTCAAAGGACAATGAAAAAGAGTACTACTATATATTACTATTACACTCTCGAAAACTAACATAGACCCTGACAATGGCCCCCTGGAAGAGTGTTTTCCTCTACCAACCAGTGGTTTTCAGGGTCCATGTTAGTCTTCCAGGGTGTAAACACGGTCCAATACCGGGGGTCCCAGATGTCAAATCAATCCCTGTGGCCTAACGGAAATTGAAGAGGTGCATGATTCAAAGAGACCCCACACTCAGCAATCTACATGGCGCAGTGTAACGAAAAGACCCTTGGCCATGTTAGTACGCTCCACCACTGGGCCTCTCTTGCAAGCCCGTATGGTTTTTGAACACATAGGCAATCAAAGGCTCATTGCCAGTTTGGCGGCCATGCTGAGGAGGTTGGGTAGGATGGATCGGATGATCAGAGGCTGTCAGGCTCTGGGATTGACAAGCTGGGCTGGTCACCTGTGCGTCCGGACCACCTTATGTAACGTCCAACAGCGGAGGGCGTCGCCATCACAATGGTACAGGAGCGGCTCACTATCCAGACAGGACAGCGGCTTGCGAGCTGTGGACAGGAAGCAGTTATCAACATGTGCTGATACTGCTCCCCTGCTTGTAAGGAAGCCATCGACCCCGTTCAGACAAAGAGCAAGCAATGTGACAGTGAATGAACCCCTCTTGCAATGTGGGGTTTGCGAAAGGCAGCCAAGCTATCTTTGCTGCGCTCGGCCTCTACAAAGGCACGCAGAGAATGTGTTTGGATGTCTTCACTCTCCAGCAAGTCGCTCACGGTCAAGAGGTAGGGTTTTCTGCTCTGTCTGACGATCTATGTATGACTATATCAGATGTTCCGAAGGCTCCGGCTTGGCCTAGACTGCTTTGAGGAGGGCGCCGCGACCATACTTTGGGCAACAACTCCATGCAAGCAGCAATGAGATCGTCACGTCTCTCCTGCAGCTCTGACTCTTGCACTTACCCAGACAATTTGGCAAGTGCATCTTTCAAGACAGTGCCGACCGTAAGTCCATGAAGCTCTTCTTCCGTTTTGCTTCCCAGCGGTCCACCAACTCATCTTCCGCCTCCAACTGCAAGACCCACTGGTCACTGTGCAAGCGACGTGCCGGCCACTCACGCCACTCACGTCCAGCGTTTCCCCCGCTGCTACTCCATCGAACGGCTCGGACGGACCCATTGCAGCCACTGTTCGATGGCCTGGTCATGTCACCAAACTCCAATGTGACTGGACCCCACTTCACGGAAGTACCTTAGAAAATGGGACATGCCCCCCCCAAAAAAGGCAGGTAATTACTTGTACCCTTTTTCATCCCTTTTTGCCTTCCGGTGCTAGACTCTGCGTACACTCCTAAGACAATCACCATGGTTGGCCTGTTTGGTGAAAACCACCTGTTTGGGTGATACGGCGTTGGGTTCCCAACTCCTCCTCCGAGTCTGCGGGGGTGTGGGGGCCATGCGTGCGTAAGGCGTTCTGCGTCCCCTCCACATCGTCACGCCACGTCGGATGATTCCAGGGAGTGGATGATTCCATGTGCATCCCGACCCCATGGACCCCCCAAAAATCCAACGAATCAACGAATTTGCCGGGCAGGAATCAAACAGGTCGCGTCTGGGTCAGAACCTAGTGCTGAAAGATGCCGAAAGGCTAGAGATTCGCCACTGAATTCTCATCCATTTCTGACAGTACCTCATTCATGTGGCATGGCACGCCTCGTAGTGAACCTGACATGACAAAAGATATTGAATGCGTGGAGCTTTGCCCCGCAAAAACCTCCAAGCTTGACAAACTGAATCATGTTGCTGACGGTTCTTCGTCGATGTGCTATTCCTTGAGTCAGATACACTTCCCTCTTAACTGCACCAGCACCTTCCGTTCGGTTCGGCTATTTGGAGACCCGACCTCACCGGTGAGGGCGCCACGTTTCTGGGCGCTCGAGACAAACGGAAACATGGTAGAAGTTTGAGCGATCTTGGAGGCCTCCAGGTATAGATTCCAATTGGTTGGTCAACTTACCCACTACGGCCATCTCGAAGAACTACGGCCATCTCGAAGAATCTTCGCAAAAATCTTCCCACTTATGGAGGCATTGTGAAGAAGGTCTTTAAACGGAACAGAAGGAAACCCTAAACCCTAAACCCTCACTGCCGGGTCCAACAACCCTCAACGAAGTACGCCTGGCCAGGAGAGTGCTGGTAGTTTTATATATATACATACGAACACGAAACACACCAATATAATATATAACCCAAAATGAACACACGGAAAAAAAGCGAAAAACGAAGACCAATGATGAAACACAGGGCTTGTTTGCTTGCAATCTCGGTGACGTTCGTTCGGTTACCGATTCGTTTTGTTTGGGACATCCTCCGACTTCCGGGCTGCCACGCGGTCGATGATTGAAGCTTGGTGGCGGATGAAGCGGCGGCAGGTGCCCTGGCCAGGGAAAATGTCTTCCCAGATGTCTTTTGTTGAACAAAATATGAAACAAGTCTAGTATGTAGTGCAATATGGTATACAATATACTTGATTCATCAGAGTCTTGCTTGTTGTTTGGTTGTTACATGATTGCTTTCAGTCGTGTTGTTTGAGAAAATGGGTGTCTTTCAAAAAAAGAAGAAAACGACATGTCATGATGCTCCACCACGTCATGGGTTTAGACCATTTAACCCTGGAGCGTCTGACCATCGCTCCACCCCTTCCACCCTGGGACAGAGGACAAATTCCATCCGGCTCCGCTCTCGTTTCGCCGGGGATCGTCGCGAGATGGCGTCGTTTCACCCGTGAAGAACTCGTGGTGTGTTTTTTTCACGAAGAATCGGAGAATCGGAGGAGAGGCCTGTGAAAATGGTCCAGTTTCTGAATGAAATCATTGATTTGTTGTGCACATGCATGTTACTTTTTCATGAACACACATGAAATCCGAAACATTTGGATGAAATCCAATCCGAAATCATGTGTTACCATGGTTTTGGCTTGGAATCCATTCCTCTCCAAAAAAACAATTCGGTGGCCTGCACCGTAGACATCGTCACGCTGAGTGGGATCTTCCTGGCGCAGGTCAGCCGTATCCCAAAGAAGTGGTGCGTGACCGGTGAGTGCTGTGGTACAGGTCAAATGGATTGAGAGGAATCCAGTAAAGTATAGTAAAGTCATTAAGCCCAGACGCTCATGATGCTCATCCCTGTGGTTTTGAGGGACCAAGGGTTGTTTGGAGCGTCTGGGAGCAATATCAAAAAGGCCGTTCTGCGCGTGTGAAGCCCTACTTCAACATACTTCAACGGTGCTTGGAGCTCTCAACACAAAACCTCGGTGAACCGGTTGGTCCGCACCTTTTCATTCTGGGATATTCTGGGCGTTTTGGTATGTGTTGGTTTTTGACCCGGTTTTCCAGACATTTCTTGGCCGTTGGAAGGTCCCAGGAAGGAACATCTTGCCATCTGCTTCAACCGCTTCCTCGCTCCTGGAGCAACCAATCAACCACCGCGAGGAAAAAAAACAAGTACCAAACACACGTCTGGTAGGGCGGTGGAACCACCTCTCCTTTTCAGCTCACCCACACACCCTGAAAGCGCCTTCGCCTCCCCCCCCCCCACCCCGCAAGAAGGAAGAACCCCCGCGGTGGAGACCCACGGACGTCCGACTTCGACTTCCCCTTCCCCCCCCCCCCCCCCCCCCCCCAACCCGCGCCGCCCCCCCCCCCCCCCCCGACCCCGCAAGAAGGAAGAACCCCCGCGGTGGAGACCCACGGACGTCCGACTTCGACTTCCGTTCCCCGCTTCGCCCCCCTTCGCCGACGGCGAAGCGCGCCGAGACCCGCGGCCTTCACCGGCTGAGGCTTTGGGTCTCGGAGCGATGCCATGAGCTCGTCGTCCTGACGGGAGGGAGCTCGAGGAATAAGCCACAGGTCTGGAGGTTCACAGCGCCGAGGATCTCGTGGTGTTTCCTTTGTTCAACACCTGGAGGGAATTGGTCTCCCCCTGTTTTCAGGATGGTTTGGGTGCCTGGATAGGAGGCATCTGAAATCTATCAAATCAGGTTCACCGGCGGAGGCGGTGAGAAACTCCCGAACCCCTCCATATACCGACCCACTGGAGTGTCTCTTTTTCGACGTATCGCGTCGACCGGACTCCGGTCCTATGGATTGGTGTCCGGGGGCGTCAGGGGCGGGGCGGGTGGGTTCGCGTCTGAGGGAGAAGGATGAGTTGGGATGGGTCGGCATGAGTTGGAGATGGAATCGATGATCCAATGCCCTAGGCTTCCAACAACCAGTAATTTAATAGGCTTTACCCAATCAACTAAGGATTTTACAATACAAAAACCAGGTCAACCATTGTTTTAATGGTCTTTGACTCCCAGGGAATGAATTGAGTTTCGCTGTGAGAACCTCCAAACATGTCTGATCTCCTCTAACCGTCTAACCTCGTGGAACCATCGATAGAAGTTGCAAGGTGTAGATGTCGTGCTTCATGTTTGTTCGCGTGCGAAAGCGGACGGCTCGGGCGGACGTGGGGGCCCAACCCTGGAGTCCCACCCATCGAACGGAAGATCCTCAACATGCTATAGCCATAGCCTTCAGAATTAAACAGTTTCGTTGATCTGAGGTTGACCTGTGAGTGTAGAGTTGAAAATGCTCTCACCTGGTGTTGCAGTAAAAAAACAATGGTCAAACGAGGGTGGTTCCGTCAAAACCATTGAATCAAGGGTAAGTCAGGACTCCTTTCATTCCTTCTCCAGTTCTGTATCTCTCACTGTTGAGCTCCTGAAAACCGAGACTTCGTGGCTTTGTTAGGCGCATTCGAACGCGCGCGCCTCCTCTCGATGGCCTTCCTTCAGGTTCCCAAGGAGTTCCATGGCCACCTAGCTGGGGAGCGAAGCAAGTTCGGCTTCGGCCGAAGCAAGTTCGGCAGAGCCGAAAGGCACCGCGCGCCCAAAGACATTAGGACGAAAGATAAGAGCTCAAAAGGAGGTCCTGCCTGGAGTTCCCCAGTGCCAGGTCCCAAAAAGACATTTCCTTGGAATTCCCCAGTCCCAGCGGCTCACTTCCTATGTAAAGGATCGAAACACTTCCTATCCCTAGACCTCCAGTCGGACCTTCATTTCGGTTCGGTGGGAGTGGGGTGGGTGCCAGCCAGTCGGGTCCAGTCATACAAAACCTGAGGTCGAAAACTGGAGGTTTTCCGGGTATGTCAAGGGGGTTCAATCCATGGTTTCTGGGACTGGGTCTCAACGGACCCAGCGCACAACGGACCCAGTCGTCCGCACCCAAGCTCCGTCCCCCAATGCGGCCGGTCCACAAGGTCCAGAGTCCAAAGGCTTCATGTCTGCAATGTCTTTCAGTCTTGGAGGGTAGTAGAAGATGGTTTCTTTCCTCTGAAGTATTCGTAAAGGATCATGGTTTCAAGCAAGTCTTTCGTATGTTTGTTCAAAGCTCATCAATGGCATCGGTGATTTCATTTAAAATGTGGGCGGCCGTTTCAGATTTGAAGGATGTGTTCCTGCCTCGAAGCTGGCGTACTGGCAATTGAGAGGCACACTCCCAGGTTTTTTCTCCTCGATTGGCTGCTTCTCAGCCAACAACGCGTGGAACCAAGTGGTTTTCCGCACTCAACTTGTGGAAAATGATGCGTTTCGATGTGGTACCCCGCCTCCTAGACTCCTATGTTGGTGTATTTCATTGACATTTGCATTGTTTAAGTGCACGGTTTTAATGGTCAGAGCGTGTAGTTTTTTTGTTGCAAAATGTGGTACCATGCATATATATAAATATATATATTTATTTATTTATGTAGGGGAAAGATGTAGAGAGATAACCTAAGAAAGAAAGTGGATAAAGAGGGTGCTCTTCAGTGCTGTAAATTCAGCATGTATCGCGCAACAATTCCTAGGAAGATCTAGAAAGTAAATATTTAATGTCCTATATAAGATGTCCAAATCACTTAGCTGTTTGTGATCCTTTCGCATCGTCTCATTCAGATCGGAGGCTCTTCCACTCACTGGGGCCGGTAGTACGCACCCTGTTCCTGAGGTGAGTTAAAAGCCGTGTTTAAAACAGAACAGTTCTTTCTTTGCAATTGTGGCGCACATAGTGCTCACATGTGTGGCTTTTGAGTATACTTCCCGGAAACAAATAACACACACACACACATATCACAACATCCTATGTGTTTCTTTAATCCTGACTGATTTGGATTTTCTGAGACGGAAGTATTCCAGAAACCTTTGGATGTTTCGATTTTAAGACTCTTGGATTCAACATCAGAAACCGGGTGTGGAACCTTGCTGAAGCAGCCTAGAGTATGTTTTTTTGCTGTATTGATGACTTAAATCCAGGTCTTCCTCTGTCAAAGGGTATATTGCAACCCAAAAGAAGGGTGTCTTGAGAAGGACTGATCCTTCAAACCTTTATATGACAACTTGTTTGTCAAGAAGCTTGTTACGTGCCCAAGGTGAACTATGCAGGATCAACCCCTTTGACATGGACACACCTAAATTCCATATCAACTCCGCTCAAGGACTTTGATTTGAACAACCATTGAACATCGTTCCACAAAGCTTACTGGACCTTACTGGCAAAGATTCAGGTGTCTTCCAGACAGGCTATGTCAATCCTTGCCGGGCGCAAGATTTTGGAGAGACCGTTTTATTGAAGGACACACTCGTACGAGTCCAGAATGGAGGAACATTCAAATGGAAATGCAACATCTCGCACGGTCGCGGGTAGGTCCGAAATCAACCACCCTCAAACGGTCCGGGCCCGAACCAATGGGGGACACGCTTGGGATCCTTTTCCCCCCAGCGTGTCGGTGGTGGTCGTTCAGGTCGTCCGACCGGCTGCGTCTCGTGCGTCTCGTGCGGAGGGAGGAGGTCGGTGCGGATGAGGGCAGGGCACGGGCAGGATGAGATGTTCAATGAACAGAACGCTTGTCCAAGGGAGAGGCGCGGCTCAAGATGAGATGTGAGAGCCCTGCATGGGGCGAGATATGAAGAAAAATGGGCGAGATAAAACAACGGGGAATGAGGCCATGGCAACGAAAACAGGAACCGGGCCTCAAGGAAAGTGACTGGGGCAGAGAATCGACCGCTTCAAAAGAATCTTGTTGTGGGGGCCGGTGGGGGGAAGCATTTCAGGTTTCAAGAACATGTGTTCATGTCAAAGACATTGAATCATAGTTAAGAAACCTGATCTTATCTAGACTGCAAGTAATTTCATTTTGACAGGACACCCTATCATGTCAAGGCGGAGTCTCAAGAATTCAGTGGACTTTGAATAAAAGGTGCCTCTGAGAAAACAAGAGACTCTTCCCACATTTGGGTACAATCACATGTACTTCAGTCTACCCTACCGTGTCGATAGACAGCCTCTTCTTTGACAGATATCTAATACTGGGGCAGAAAGGGAAGTTGTCCTTAGACCTAAACATGAGGGCATATAAAAAAGGGTGTACTATGGTCCGACTATGGTTCTGAAAAGGGATTCTTGCGTTGCTTCTCAAAGGGTGGTTCCTTGAGGTAAGGAAATATGCTTTCAAATTCAAAAGCCTCTTTATACATTTGTGTGATGCAGTTGTGGTGTAAGAGTTCAGCACATGCAAGTATCAGTTCAATTCTGGAAGAGGCGGTGGGGTATTCAAAGCAAGCAGGTGTTACAACAAAGAAAACTAAAATCTGAGAGACTGAGGTCCGAACCAGTGGTGATTTGTCTGTGTGTGTGTGTTGCGTGTGTGTGTGTGTGTGTGTGTCTGAGTCTGTGTCTGTCCAAGCATGTGTGTGTGTGTTGGGGGGATTGTTTCTGCTGCACAAACATATACCGAGAAAGGAGTATAGGATGGGGGTTGCATAATAAATCAATGTGTAATATGTGTATATCTATATATATATGTATAAACTGAATAAATATGTATATAGTCATACTCGTATAATATATATATATATAGCTTTACATAAATATACATAATATACGTTACATATACGTGTACAGGAAATGTAGACCCCATACCCAAGCAAAAAATAACATGCAGCTGTCCTGTTTGCTGAATTTCACTGAGGGTTACTTCACTCTGCATTGACCGTTGATTCCTCACCACACGAACATGTGTGGAATCGCGTCGGGTCGGTCTGTTCTACCCCCGTCTCCTCAGCCGTGAGGTTCACGATCGCTGCAATCACCTGGCCGAACCAGTTCCTCGTGAACGCGACCACATGGCTGCAAACAAAGGCAACAAGACGGGCGGTAGATGGTGAAAACCCTGCAAGCATTACTTGTACAGAACCGGTTTTGTTGCAGTGCCACCGTGTCACTGCATGATTTCCAGTGCGCGTGGGGGGTTGTCTTGTCTAAACACACCCACGCGCTGCGCGTGGGGGGGCAAGGGATGGACGGATTGGAGCGGACATGGGGAGAACAAATCCCTCCTCTTTCAAACGCAAGCTGGGATGTTTTGAGGGACTCCTGGGATGAGTTGAGGTTGCTTCAGTCTCCAACTACAACCCCTAGGGATCCGTTTTCGTACCGAACCTCAGGTTAGGTGAGGACGGAGACACTGTTATGTAGGTGCCAGGAGGGTCCAGTCATACCTTCTGAGAAGGTACGACTGGCTCCCTAGGGAACAAACTTAGCATCTTGAAATGACCCGCTGGATTTGAATCCGTTGGAGGACTTCTTCTTTGTCCCAAGTCATCGAACAATCTGTCGACCCTGGTGAAAAGCCAAGGAAAAAGCCGTCCTCATGGGCCGGTGGGGCCCGTCTCCAAAGTGGCTTCCAACCCTTCCCAAACATGACGAAACAGTTCGAAACCCTCCGATCTGGGGTGGTTCATGGACACCGCGAATCACCTCTCCTCGGGGCTATAAGACTCGACACCCCCATCACGCCCTGGTGCTGATCGTCCACTTCGTCAACCCGGGAAGAACGGGCCATGTTGGAGACCGTCGAGACCGGCCTGCTCCCCAAGGCCATTGGCAAATCCCTCCGGCGCCTGCGTCGAAGAAAGGAACCAGGTGTGGAATGTGACAAGTTGACATTTCTATGGTTGCGTCATGTTGCTTCACTGTTTTGAAGCTCAAAACACACACGGAACGGATGCGAAACGGATGCGGAACCGTGCCGACGACGGCGGCGCTGTGTGCTTGACGCGCTGGGACCGAAGATCTGGAGATCCGATGAGGAAGATGTGGCTATCACGCCCGGGCCAGGACGCCCAGGAATTTCTGCTTGGAGGATCTGAAATTCGCTCTGAAATTCACGTCCTGGGATGAGGATGGGTTGATGCCCGATGCCACATCCCACGAGACCATGTGGGACTTTTCACTTTTTGACTCGCTGATGTTTGGGGATCTGATTCGTCTGATTGAAGGCACTTCCGTTTCACACTGCGCGAAGGAATTGTAGTTGTACACTCGGACGAACACATCACATGCAAGTGAAAGGCATGACCCGTTGGGAAGACGACGTTCCTTTATGAACAGGGGTCTTTCCACTTCCATGTCAGTTGGTTGGAGTGTGGTCGAACTGGACTTCTTGGGGATGGAACTCTTTTCGTCTGTTGATCTGCGCCACCGTGCCAAAAAAACCTGAGAAACTGAGAAACTGTGCATGTCGCTGGAATTTCTAAGCGGAGTACAGCTGTCAAAACAAAAAGTACGGACCCCAAGTTCCAAGCAAGTGGCCCTCTCTTCTCCTGCCCTCTACCAAGCCCAGGCCCCCGAGGGTGGAAAGACTCTACCGCATTGCTGTCTGCTTCAGGCTCCGGCTTCCCGCAGCCACCCAGCAGTCTTCTCCGTGCCTTGAAGCCCTTGCCCTCAGCAGTCTTCTCCAAACCCTGCGCCGCCGCCTCGTCGAAGTTGGGGTCCTGCCGAACCGAACCGAGAAGAACCGAGTCCCGACCCGGAAGGGCCGGATGAAGGCATTGGGGCTCAACGTGTGGCGCGTTTTGTGGTGCACCAGTGCGCCAGGTGAAGAATCACCCAGTGAGCTTGGGACTCACGAGTCACCCAGTGCCAGGGCCTGGTGAAGAACGGCGCTGGGTGAGGAGAGTGCCCCCCCTCCATCCGCCGAACAACCACCGCCGAAGCCAGCCGGAAGGTACGGGTGCTTTGGTCGGCAAGCTGGAACCGAGGAAGACGCCGAAGAACCGAAGAACTGTGTATACTTTGTTTAGTCAAGTGGTTGCAGGACACAGTGGTTGCAGGAATCACATGACCCCTCTCACCACTAATCCCACAACAGGGTCTGGGTTCCAAGGCAGAAAGCAGCAAGGGCAAAGAGACATACAACGCTTCATGTTGAAACTTCTAGTTTGCCCCCGGAGAAGAACACTTCAGTCGGTGGCTGGTTGGGATCGGTTGCAGGTCCGTTGGGATGGGTTGGATGGGTTGGATGGCTTCACACGTTCGGCCAACCTTCGGCCAAGCTTTTGGCCCAAATCGGAACCCAGGACACTCCATTGGAGGCTGCTTTTCTGGGCACCGAACTTGTCACCAGGAAGCATGTGAGAGGATCCAGGCACGCCAGGCAGATAGAACTGTGACTGTATATAGATGATGGAACAGTGTTTACCAACACCAATGCTGGAGGGTCCTCTCATTCTGACATGCACCTGCTCTATTCCACTATGCCCTGTACTACTACTTTGTTGCAACCAGGTTGGATCCAGTAAAATGCATTCCATAGCTGAGGATTAGGTGATTGATTGCAATAGTTTATCATTACGCTACCAAAATCGCCGATATCATTGTAATTCGTCACTGCGCCTCACAACTTCACCAATGAAGTCTGATGACGAATGCAGCGCAGGATGTCTGGATGCCGTGAAACAAAAAGCTGTTTGCTCCCAAAAAATCCCGCCACCCCCAAGATGCTGTGGAGAGTCCTCTTTAGGTGACACTAGCACTGCGAGCCCATTGCTCCGTACATTGAAGACCTCCAGGCAGTCAAGCGTTCGGTGTGGTCACAGTCTGCGTCAAGAGAAGGCAAAATCCTTTGTTGCAACCGGGTCTATCTTTGGGTGGAGCGGAGCCCGGGTCTATTTTTTGGGTCTATCTTTGGTACATCTCCTTTGGTTTGGGTCTATCTGAGTCTATCTTTGGGTCTATCCGATAGGCCAATGGATGGTGTCCGTTGGGTCTATCCCTCTATGTTCGGAACGCCCGGCTGAAGTTCTTAAATTCAAGGCAAAGAGATGGTCCCCTCCATATGACATGAGGGCACGGCCAGGCCCTGAACGGAGGGTCCAGACTTCGCGTCTGGGCTGGAGGTGTTTCATGCAAGATGTGCGGAGCAGGGTGCCATGTCCTATGTCCCATGCCTGTTCTTGGCCCAAAGAGTTTTCACTATGTTTCACTGTACTTCAGCATGGCCAACTGTACCTGTATTGTCCAGCAAACTTCATGAAGCATAATTAGTTTTGTGAAAGCACACCAGAACACTCCAACTTCTACCGGATTCGACATGGTTTTTAGGACACCAAATTAAACTTGATGTTGGGGCTTCCGTGCCACGATTGCTTTAGTTTGGGGAAAAGAAAAGAAAGGCCACGTATGCCAGCTGCGAAGAAGGCCACAAAAAGCATGGAACTGCTCTGCATGGCTCCATCTCATTTTCTACATTTGACTCGTTCTCCATGTTCCCCTTTTCCACCACTTCCTTGAGTCCCAGACCCCTGGAAAGCGCCGAAGGAAAGCAGGGGTTCCTGACAGCGTCCGAAGACGAAAATTCCCTGTTCCTTTTCGGAAAAAGCTCCCAAAACTCGAAAACTGAAGGACCTGCAACCCTAGAAGTCCAGTTGTACTATATTTGGCACCATCCAAGTATGATGTTGTATGCATGTTCGCTTCAAAAGAATATTGGACTCCCAGGGAACGGAGACCGGCAAGGTATGTCGGACCAAACTCTCAATGTGTGGAGTGACTGCTCCTACTCCAAGTTCTGCAGGGGCATCCTCACCAGGCGATGAGAAAAACATGCCTCAGCCTGCTCAAATGTTTCACCTGGAGAGCCTTGGAATCCCTTGGAACCCCATTTTCAGGAGCCGCCAGAATGTTCGTTATGAAGCGCCCGATCCAGCTGATAAAAAATGGTTGACCATGGTTGACCTGGTATTGCCGTGTGAAATCCTTAGAATAATGGTTGTTCGGATAGCCTGGCTATCACAAAAAAATGGTGGGCGGGCCAGGAAGCCCGAAGGGCCATGGAGGAGAGGGGATGGAGCTGGAAGAAGCTCAGCTCGAATTGGAAGAACACCGAGCTCCATCGCGTATACCCATCCCCAAACCGGACCCCAAACCGGTGGACCGTCGACCCGGTCCGAGCACATCAGCCGCTGCAAAGAGCCAGTTCGACACCACCCGTCCACCACCCACACCACCCGTCCGGTTCGAATCCAAGCCCGAAGCAATGTGAAACGGGTTGAGGGTGAAAACCCCTGCTATGGAGGGGAACCCCCAAATGTTCTGTGTTTCAAAGTATTTATAGCCACCCCGGATGTGGGATGGGCTTCGATCCCGGGTGATGTCCTGGAAGTGATCTCCTGTGGGATGGTTTTGGAGGGGAGGACATGCGACCGGACGTGATTTCAAAAGACTGCACCAACCCCTGCGGGCACGTCTCCCGGACGGCTCCGCGGGCACACCCTTCGCCTTCCAAACAGGTCGCCCTCTGCATGGGTTCTCCAGATCAGACCGAACATGTACGAACTGGTGGTCCCATGACCACCGAATGAACGAAAAGGCCCGATAACTGACTGACTCACCCGGAACTTTGTTGGGACGCGTGGTGCCTTTTGTTTCGGTATATTTCTCCTGCTTTTGAACATGGGCCTAACATAGCCCAACACATGCAGAGAGATGATGCTAGCTATGTGTGTGTGTGTGTGTGTGGGGGATGACACTGCATGATTAGCATAGTTTGCATTTGCTTCCGCGCCCTTCCCTTCAAATGGCTTTACGAAAGCTTCCGCACGAGGTGGGGGCGAATAAAACCCACCCCAATTTGAACTGCAAAACCTCTTCCCCTAGGCCTCCAAGTACCTTCGTTTCGGTTCGGTGGGACTGGGGTGGATGCCAGTCATGGTCCAGTCATACCTTCTGAGGAGGCACGACGAAGTCGGTGTAGGCTTCATGCTTGGTTGGTGATTAATCCTGGTCCCTTCCCTTCGGGCCCGCCTGACTCCCCGAGGGCGCGCGCGTCGAAGCGCAAGCGCCAAAACTTCTCCAGCTCCTCCGGACGGACGAAGCGGAAAAAGGCAACGGACTCACCATACAATTTGGTGTCAACGGAGGTTGAAGGACCCGAACTAGACATCTATGGACTATCACATATACCTGGACCATCCGACCATCGTCGGGGTGCCCTGGAATAGGAAGCCGACCGGCCGAAGTACAAGTAGTGTGGGGTAGTCCACCCCGATGGTCGGATGGTCCTGGTATATTTGCTGTTCGCGATGTGGATGCAGAAAGCGTCAGCGCGTGGGCAGTTCTCAGGGCGCGACAAAGGAAGGATGGAAAAGGGATGAAATAAGGTAGATGAATACCTGAGCAGGGTCAACAGGGGATTGCTTCTTGATGAAGTGAGGGTTGATGAACGAATGGTGAGAGAAAGTAGATCTCTTCCTCCGACTTGTGGTCTTTGTATCCGGTGGGCGATGGACCTTCAGCAAGTATCTAGGCTAGCTCTGGGCTGAGTCAGCATCCCTCAAAAACTATTAAACAGATCTTATTATTACCCATTGACACTCATTTCCAGCTAATACTCAAAGATCCTTCTACCACCACTTGGTTTCCTCCAAAAAACGGTCGACTTCTTCTTCTCCTTCTCAACGGTTTGAACCAATGGTCGTCGTTCTTCCTTCGGCGGCGCCGGTCCTCCTCCAGCACTTCCACCGGCGCCTCCTTCGGCCCTTTCTCCGGCAGACCGTCGACTAAGCGCCTGGCGGAACGGCGCACCGAGGAGGTGCGTTTAACCCGCCACCACTTCCGGCGAAGCGAAGAACGAGGTGAAGAGGCTCGGATGTGTTTTTCCAATTGGGTTTCGTTTCAAGATCTTAAGAGAGATGAAATCATGCAGCAATCAACATAACAGCTATTGTTTGATATATGTGGTATAGTATACAATTATATATTTGAACGGAGAATTTAGGCTCTTAAACTCAGTGACTTAGGGTCACAGTCCCAAAGGTTGTAGCTGAAGCTTAGGCACACTTTTAGCTCCACTCCAAGCGTGAGCTCTGGTATCGAAATGAACACAAAAGTAAACCACAAACTTGAACAAACGGATTGAACAAACGGCTGCAGTGAAACATACATCTATACAAGCTATGTCATGTACATGTAACTGGTGCTACATCTGATCACGCCTCCCGAGTTTAACATGCGAGTCAGGGTTAGCACTTCAGTGAATTAGCTCGTACCCCTTCAGTACATCTTGGTCTTGAAGAAGTACCTACTTTAGCTCAAGCCGTTCACGCTTTCAGGGTCAGTTCATGTTCACCTTCCAGGTAGTGGAAGTTCATGCCTTTCATGGCTGTAGTCATTTTCTCTTCAGTGACAGCTTTCGTTAGCACGTCGGCCAACATTCGGTCGGTGCCTTCCTTCTTGAGACGAAACTCTTTCTTTGCTGTACGCTCTTGTACCCAGTGGTACTGAGTGTCAACATGTTTAGCTCGTCCCAAGCCTCGACGGTTTCCCATGGCGATGCCAGCGGAAGCGTCCATTGTCACCTCTTTGCTGGGAAACAATCCCCAGTCTCTTGCAGTTGATGCGATTCCAAGCATTTGACATGCTCGTGAAACAAGTCCGTAGCACTCGGATTCGCCACTGCTCAGGGAGACAACTCCTTGGCCTTTGCTGTACGTAGTGAGACAGCATTTGTTGGCCATGAGCACGCCTCCTGACACACTCTTTCGTGTCCTTATGCAACCTGCATGGTCGGCGTCTGACCACATGTTGAAGGGGTTGCAGGTGCTTTGGTTTGGAAACAACTGTGCAACTCTTGGTCGATACCTGACATATCGAGCCAATCGTTTCAGCATATTCCAGTGCCTCGATGTTGGGTTCTGTAGACCTTGTGCCAACGAGCGCGTTGCAGTTTGCAGATCGGGTCGATCCTGTGCCAAATACGCGGCTCTCATAGCAATAGATCTATACATCGTTGGATCTTCGGCACTCAGCGGAACTTCTTCGTGTTGGAGTTCCTCTTGACTTGGCTTGGCCAAAGGTGTTTTGACCTTACCTGGTTGACCAGTGCCTAGCCACTTGATGATCAACTCTGCATGTCTTGGATCTGGTTCCCACCAAATGCCTTCATTTGACCAGGTGATGATGCGATTCAGCACTCTGATCTGTTGGCTTGCCTTTGGTGAACCTGGTGGACCGAGAATGCCTCGTTCCACAACTTGCCATTCTTTAGCTGCTGAAGTGTGAAACCATTTGATGTCATCAAAACTTCCAACTGTCGTGAAATCGTCTCCATGCACCTCTGTTCGAAGTTCTCTGGATGCATGGTAGTAGATGCATGGGTTGGACTTGCCTTGAACAAATCCTAGCTTCTTCATAAACTCTGCAATGGTCAGCTCCCAATTCATGGGTGCGTCTCTGGTTCCGTAAAGGCTTCTGACCAATCTTCCTACCACATCTCCATCTTCTGGTTTCTTGCCTTCTGATGGAATTTCAACATAGAGTTCTCTTGTTGCTTTGGAGTAGAAATGAGCTCTCTTCACATCCAAAAATCCTAGGAAAGATTGCTTTGTTTTTCTTCTTTCGCCTTTCTCCAATGGAAGGCTGTCGCTGACTGCAATGGTTAGCAGTAGCTTCAAAGCTGCTAGGCTCGGCATGGCTGCGAAAAATTCGTCAAAACCTGAGCCTCTTTTGATTTTTTGTGCTACCAATCGACTTCTGTAGAGAGGATTGGTTTCATCTTGCTTGTTCACATCTACCCATCGAGTTCCAATGATTTTGGTTCCTTTTGGAACTTTGCTTCTTGGGATCTTCTCCCAGACTCCCATTGATTCGACAATGTCGATTTCGTCTTTTCTGGCTTTCTCTACCTTCTCAGGTAGAAGCTCTTTTCCACTGATGTCATCGTAGTACCACCAGTCTTTTGCCTCTTCTGCCATTTCTTCTGGCAGTGGGATCTTCTCTTCACACACTGGTTTCTCTGGGTCGATGCTAGATAGCACTCTCTCTCTGTCTTCTAGGATTAGGCTTTCTAGAGCCATCTCAATACTCTGGATGTCTCTTGTTCTCTCGGCTTCATCTTCATGTTCGCCTTCTGCCTTTCTCTTCTTGTCTCTATCTACTCTGGCTTTTGCTGTGGGTGATCCTGCTGGTTCATGTTGTTCTTCGTGTTCTCTCTTTTCTCCATGTGGTTCAGGTTCGCGTGGTCTGCGAATACCTGATGCTGAAGCCGATGCTGTGCCTGGTGTTGGTGGTGCTGCTTCTGGTTCGTACCAAAGTTCTGTCACAATGTCCATCTTGTGTGGTAATGCTCCATTGAGTATCTCTGGTGGAAGGTCTGTTGTCATGACTCCACTCTCGATGATTGCATTGTTTGCATGGTTTCTTGTGACTCGGTGCCAGACGGTAGACCAATCAGGTCCTCCTGGCATGGTGGTTTGAAAACAGTAAGCTTCGACGTCAAGTCGTGCGAACACTCGACACGAATCGGGAACTCCCGATGGTCTTTTGCTTTCATATCCATGAAGGATTTGAGGTCTTTTACCACTGACTGGTTGTGGCATGCCAGTGATTGCCTCTCCAACTCGACTTTCATGTCTTGCCACTCTTGGGTTCTCTTCTTCTTCTCCTCTGATGCACTCTTCAAGTCTGTCTCGACACCTGTTGGTGTGGTGAATGCCTGTAGATCTCTTGCCAATCTGTGTGGCATCACAGGCTGGGCAACCTGCGGTGTACCCAAACTTTTCCAGGTCTTTCTTGGTAATGTAAAGTCTTCTCAGCTTTCTTTTCTTGTCATCGATTGCCGGTGGTTGAGCTAAAGCTTCACCACTTGGGCTGGCAATGATTGGTTCCCTTGGGGCTGCAATCGCTGGTTCTTCGCGAATTGCTTGAGGATCCCAGGGAATCCCAGTGATCGGTTTCAGCAACTCTGAATCATATCGATCTTCTTCTGGCTTTCTTCGGATGGATTGCACTGTGAAAACGCCTGTGGAATTTCCTACTATCTTCTCTGTGGTGGTGTCTTTCACTCCTAGAAAAATTCCTTTGGTCCATTGGGCCTCGAACTTGTGACCTCTCTTGAGGTATTCGACGGCCTCACCAAATGGTGGAATTGCTACTTTCCATTCACGTCCACGAAGTCGTGAATACGGAGTCTTTCCGTCTTGAAGTTCGGTGGATCGGAAAAACAAGTTATAGACAGTGGATGCGTGTTCGACCAACCAAGTCAAAACAGGTGAATCGTCAGGAAGTTTCTCACCATAGTTCGACTCGATTGCGGCTCGAAGAGTCCTGGCTTGTCCTTCCAAGGTTTGAACTGCTCGTTCAATCTCTCCCTTGGATTCTTTGACTCCTTTCGGGCTCTTCTCGATGATCAGGGTTCCTTCAAACCCATTCTTTACTGCCTCAACAACGGATGTGAGAGCAGGTTCAGGATCATGTCGAATGATCAGTTTGGAGTATCCTAGTTTCTTGATGTCGTTCAAAAGTACTTTGGATCCATATGGACCTTTTGTCACACCTTTGTAGGGCAACACATGAGCAAAAAGATGCTTCGTCCATCGATCTCTGACAACAAGAATTGGTGCATGAGTCTTCTCGTCCAAAACTACGTCATCAGTCCGCGAGTTCATGAAACAGTAGTCTACAGTTACTACTGGGGTTGTCTCATCGGTGTGGTCTATCTTCCTGTGGGGGTTTGCCTTAGCTTTTCCCCTTACACAGGCCTCACACCAAGACCTAAAAGGAAAGTGTGAAACAGCATGCTCTTCAAACTCTTTTCGCGTCGGGCGAATGGGAGCATTGATTTTGAGCTCAGGCGGAACTTCGTCGCCTGGCTCGGCCTCTTCGGCCTGTTCGTCCACTACCGGACTTACCCATTGCGGTGCCGGACGAAAGGGTGGAATGCAATCGGCACAGAACAGACGCCGTTGCTGAACGAGATCGGGATCTTAGTCCCGTCTCGGGAGATATGTCCACCAGATCCGTGCATCTGAATGGACCAGCCCTTGCTCATAAGGGCCCCCGCGGAGAGCAGCGGTTTTGCAACCGCCATCACCCGGAAACAGCAACGTCCATTGAGGGAGTTCTGGCCGACGCCGATGGTCACCATGGCATCAATCTTGCCAAGGTCCTTGACCACTTCGCCTGAGGCAGTCTTGTAGACTTTGCAGGCGCCTTCAGGCTGGGTAGGCTTGTAGCCCAATGCGGTGGCCAGTTCAACAGGGATGCAGGAGGTCGCGGCTCCTGAATCCAAGGTCACCTGATGAGCCATTGGCGCCTCCATGGATGCCAGCTCCAAACTCCTGAGAGCGAGTGGATCTTCATCGCCTTCATCAGGCTCGCTTGAGGGAGTGGGATATCGTTTTCCCTTTCCCTTCTGGGCCTCACGGGCAGCGTCTTGGGTGGCTACGTTGACAGCTCGGGTCAACTGCACCTTCTTCTGCTTGCCCTTTCCTTGGCCTTTCTCGGAGGCAGCCGGAGCCGAAGCGGCTCGGCTTTTGCCCGGGGATCGTGACCGGGACTTCAGCCGAAGCGTCTGCCTTGGCGCTTCGCTGGATTCCTCTGGCTTGGATCCTGGTCCACGGAATCGCTCCATATGCTCTTCAGTTGAGCTCTTGAACCAGGCCATGCGTTCCTCCTTGGTCTTCCCCTTCTTCTCAGGAGGTGGAGGTGTCTTGGCAATGCGCCTTTGCTTTGGCGTCTTTGGGCCAACCTCATCTTCCTCCTCCTGTTCTTCCATCATCTTCTGCATATGGGCTGTCATGTAGAAAGGAGGTTCGTTCTTGACGGTCTCAAGCTTTGGATCTTTCATCTTCAAATGCTTTGCCACATCTTCGGGCTTCAGATCCATGTCGGCATCTTTCACATGCTTTGGCGCATCTTTTGAAGTTGGGCTGCCTTGCTGTCCCTTGGCAGTCTTGATGCGCTTTCCCATCTCTTTCTGCTTGATCGTCCATTCCTTTGCCCACTGGTTGAGGACTTTTGGCGGGCAACAATTCAAAGCCATATGATGGTTCCATAGGCCGGTGTCATTGTCACACCTCAGGGCCTTGTTGCACGCACGGCAAACCATGTGCTTGCTGCCATCTCTGTTCTTGTGGGTGCATTTGGCTACCCATTCATCATAGCTGAGGATGCGCTCTTGGAACATGTGATCGAGCCATGGCACAGTGTCTTTCTCTTTTTCTTCCTCTTGTCCATCTGACTCATCGTCAGCTGGCTCAGTGCCATTCTCATCCTCTTCAACTTCACCTTCAAACTCTTCTTCTTCGAGTCCCTCGATCTCAGTCACATCAAGGGAATTGATGTTCTCCATGACTGGAGCTGCGAAGGATGGTGCACTTGTTGCTCCTTCGGCTTGGCTTTCGACGCGCTTCATCACAACGTAGTCCTCTGGGTTGAACCCAGCTGCAGTAAGCGCTTTGTCGATGACACTGCGGGCTGGATGGCTGGTAGCCGTCCATGTCTGGCTTTCCCGCTTCATCTCTGCCAACTCTTGAGTGGAAAGATCCTCGATCTTGGGCTCCTTCTCTTTTGGCTTCTCAGGCTTCTTTGTCTTTCCTGGCTTCTTGTAGCCACGATGCCTCTGGGCCTTTTCCCGACCTCGAGGCTGAGGGGCTTCATCAAACTTTCCCTCATCATCTTCATCATCCCAAGCTTGAAGTCGACCAGTACCCTTGGCACGAGCGATCTCATAGTAGTCGAGCTCCTCAGGGTAATTGGCCTCATAGTCGCGCCAGGATTCGAAACGATCCTGGGCCTTCTCAACGCGATGTTGCTCGGCGCGCTGACGGCTCTTCTTCTTCTTCTTGGCCAATCTTGGGTCCATGCCTGATGCCAAATCAGCTGAGAGCCTTGGCGACTCCGCCGGCACCGAAGCGGCGCGGCGAGGAGTTGGTCTCTTCAGCAAGATCTTGGCTTCTCTCTCCTTTTCTTCATACTGTTCTTTCAGCCTCTTCATCTCGGCCTGTTGTTCCAAGATGGCGTCATTGGCTGCTTTGCCTTTGGCTTCGGCCTCTTCAATGGCCTTCTGGATCGTCTCGGACTTCTTCTCATACAGTTCGCGATTTGACTGCATGGTCTCTTGGATTGCTTGGTTCATGACTGCAATCCCAGCAGCTGCAATTCCAGGACGACCTTTTCCAGCTCCTGGCTTCTTTGGCATAGCCTTGACTTCAGTCTCAGCTTTTGCCTTGGCTGCTCCACGAGAAATTGCGGCAGGTGCTGCTTTCTCCATCTCGATGGCAAAGAGGGTGGCGATGTCAGCGGAATACTCAGGCTCGGGTTGATGCTCTTGAGCCATAGAGGTTTCAGATTCCTCCACTGAAGCTACCTTCTTACTCTTACTCTTGCCTTTGCCTTTAGAGTCTTTTCCTTTGCCACCTTTGCCTTTACCCTTGGAGTTTTGGTTGTACCAACTACTCTTGTTCCAATCATTCTTATACCAATCATTCTTGTTCCATGAGTTGTTCCATGACGAGGGATTGGACCATGAAGAACCTTTTCCCTTCTGTTTACCTTTGTCGTTTCCCTTGCCTCCATCTTGACTCTTTCCTTTTCCTGTGCCGCCTTTTGAGCCACCTTTGCCTTTTCCTTTGGCTTTGGCCAGACTTGCAAGTGAAGCTTGCATCTGGCTGGCAGCTGCGGCTAGTGCATCAACATCCATTGGTGCTGATCCAGTCTTTGCTTCTTTTCGGCTCTCGATGTTCTCGAGGTAGGCCAAAATCTCTGACTTCATGATGGCATAGTCAGTGAGTCTCGAACTCTGGAGGTCAAGGTGATCTTGAAGTTTGGCTGGGCACATCTGCTGAAGACAACTTCTTGCGATGTCATCATCAAGAGCTTTCTTCTTTCGCTCTTCGTACTTTCGCCTGATGTTTTCCCAGGCTTCTATGCTCTCTCTGAGCTTGTCCAGTGCACACTGTTGTGGGTGCAGGACCTTCTTCAGCAAAGCTGAGTTTGCTTGTGGGTTCTGTGGATCATACTTAGTGATCAATCGTCTCAAAGCCTCTAGGCCAAAGTGCTGACCTCTGGAGGTATTCTTGACAATCTCGAGGGCTTCTCCCTCACATAGTGAGATCAGAGCCTGTCGGGCCTGAGCTGAAACAAGCTCGGCTCCTTCAGGATAATCATCTTCCAGAGATGTCTCATTGATCTCTGTATCTTGATGCTCTTCGAGGAGCTGAATGCACTTTCCTGCATTCTTGTGACTTGTCTCAATCCAAGTCTTGAACTTGAAGTACCATGAGTCCCAGGTACCTGTATGTCCACTGAACTTGTCAGGCTTTGGAATGCCTTTCAACTCTGATCTGTCTCTTACTTCTACGCTAGTGGCTATGTTCCTTGTGATTGCCGTTTGTTGTGTATATGCTTCTGCCATTGCTCGTTGCAATTGGTTCTGCCCCTGTGCTAGGGCTTGCATCATCTGTGCAAATTGTTGTGCCATGTCTGTGGCTTGTGGTGCCTGTGCTCCTGGCTGTTGCGCCATGTTGACTTGCTAGCCAGGGATTGAAGCAATCCGGCTTTCCTGCAAGTGATGCTTGTTTTGTGGATCTCCGGTGCCAGAGCCGAAGCGGCTCGGCAACCTTCGATTCGCAGACGGTAGCCGGGTCTTAGAACCAGGCTCCGCTACCATGAACGGAGAATTTAGGCTCTTAAACTCAGTGACTTAGGGTCACAGTCCCAAAGGTTGTAGCTGAAGCTTAGGCACACTTTTAGCTCCACTCCAAGCGTGAGCTCTGGTATCGAAATGAACACAAAAGTAAACCACAAACTTGAACAAACGGATTGAACAAACGGCTGCAGTGAAACATACATCTATACAAGCTATGTCATGTACATGTAACTGGTGCTACATCTGATCAATATTGATTGATACTATATATATAATATTACTATATCATATATAAAGAGGAACATGGGTATGGATTGGTCCACCGAGTCGTTGGAATTGTCAACAAGTCTTCCCACAGCAGTCGACCGCAGTCACCACCCCAGCACTCGCGTGCGAGTCGCTACAGGCGCTCGCCTAAGGCATTGGTAGAGCCCACGCAGCAGCTTTTCCAAGCCTCAGTCGAGGGGCAGCATCAGTCGAGGGGCGATGCAAGGCCTTGAAAAGCGCCTGAATGGCCTTTGGGGAAGGGTCAAAGCCGGGAGACTGACCAGGGAGGTTAAGCTGACCAGGCGGATCGAGGCTTCAGGTTTTGACCTATCCCATTTCAGGGTAGCGAAATCCTTGAGCCTGGTGGGGGAGAAGCCTTTTTGGGGGACCCAGGGGGGTCGAAAAAATGGTCAAAAATTTGGGATCTGGAAAGGAGCTGGATTTGGGGCTTACAGGGACAGCTTTGAGGCCTTTTTCGGCTCGCGTGAAGGCGCAAAACACTGAAAATTACAGTGGTTTCACAAACTTCGATCTAGAAAAAAATGTCGCAGCGTAGCAAAAACTGCGTAAGTATCGACGTTTTTTGGGGTGTGGTGCGCGAAGTGCTAAAAATATAATATGTTTTTCGGGAAAACCTCGTATATACCGTAGTTTTGAGCACTCGATAGCTCAAAGCCATCGGTATTTACGTGGTTTCCTGGCGTAAAAGCACCAAAAGCTACGCAAATAGCATGCTTTGGGCAAGCAGCAAAAGACATTGATATTTAGACATATATTTACAGTGCTTTCCGTCTTTTTGGTCATTAAGAAAGGGCCTCTCCACCACCAGCCTGAGGGATTTTGCCTGGTCTCTTTTTGCTTGCTTGCCCGCGAATCTGAGAGATTTTTTGCCTGGTCTCTTTTTAGCTTGCTTGCTTGCACGCCTCAAACTTGTTTGATACAAGGTCTCGGGGGGGAGCGCGCGCGACGCATGCGAAAGGAACAACGCAAGTGTCCGAAACTGAACACGATAGCGAACACGCGCCCAACCGGTATCTCCGGTCTGCGAAGCTCTACAATCGATATGTACTTGCAGTATCCAAGTTCTATCGAATCCCTTGAAGTGTTCTTTGCAGCCTTTGCACCCTATAGCAGGCCAGAACAGGCTGACCAGTTGGGCTCACCATCTCCATGTCTCCCAGCTCTGTTTCGTCCAATTTGATCAAGTGGCTTCACTTTTTAATCTTTCCGACTGCAGAATGCAGTACAGAAGAATCCATCGACTTCTGTCCCTCGCATCCCTCAAATTGTCCAACTTCCAGCTCTCTACACACCCAATGGGAGCCAAGGAAACAAGGTTAAACACATCTGTTGGCCCTTGCCTTGCACCTCGACGCCATTCCACTTCTCTCATCTCTTCATCGACCTCTTCCCTCTCTCCGCTCTGCTCCCCCTCCGATCATCCGACCATCCGCACCGTTTGGGCCTCCCAGCTATTGGCATCCAGGCCTTTCAAGCGCCGTCGCTTGGAGGGGCGATGCGCGGCGTTCGCCTCGACCCGCGGCACGTGGCCGGCGTGGCGTGGCGTGGAGGTGACGGGTCTTCGAAACGGTCCAGTGAGGTCCGACTCAACGAGTCCTGAAGGGGTTTGTTTCGCGGCTGTTCTGAGGTGTTCATTCATTTTTGGTTTGGGGGGGTGTACAGGTTGATGTGTGAAGGGAAGCAGTTGAGATTCTTCGTGGCATCATGTGTCCTTGAAATGGGTGTAGACGAGGAGAAGACTCAAAAGGAGAATACTCTGCCTAGGAAATTACATAAAAGAGACATTCCTTAGATCAGGTCCCATGCTCCGTAGTGGAAATTAACAAAAGACCTTCCCTTAGATCAGGAAAGCCCCGACATCTGTCGAGCAAAAGGAAGTTCCGAGGATCAGGTCCCCATTCGGTTTCATGCTTAGATCCGTCACGAGCACGTGATGGGCTCGTTACTGGGATTGGAGCACCACAAAAACATCTGATTCGGTATTGTTATACCCTATTTTGGCCTTCCAAGACGATGTTTTTCTTCATGGTTCATCGGCTTTTGTACATTAGTAAAGCAGCTCGGTGGCTCGGGATAATTCAGACCATGAAAAAATCAATGGTGCATCCAGGAAGGCTCCGTCTCACGCTGGACGTCACAACCGCTTGGAAAACGAATCGTGTTTGGACTCCTCACAAGTGGCAAGCTCGTCTCAAGTGGTGCTAGTCTCAACAGCCCCATGTGGATTAAACAAGTCTTGCTCAGAGATACCAGAAACTATCATGAGCCCCTACCAGCACCTTCCAACAGGCCTCCCTAAGAGGTCTCAGAGTCTTCGCTACATTTATATAGAAGCTATAGAGCTTTGAGCTTTGCCGTCCTTGCCATCGTACGTCCACCAACAAGTCGGGTGGGTCCGGTCGTGGGTCGGGTGAGTCTCGTCGTCACCGCGCACGCCTCCTCTGGCATCATGGGCATGGGCATGCCAGGATGATGCATGTCCGGCATCCCCTGGCGACGGCGAACACCGGTGTCACCCAAACGGGTCTCGACCCATCCGTCAGTCTCGACGCACCGGGCGATGGTGTTCATCCAGAGAATAGGGTCGGTTCGCTTTAAAACCCTAACAGAGGGACCCCCAAAATAAACAAAGACGGACGAAACGGGCGTGCCACGCTCCTTTGACCGATGCATTTGGGTGGGACGATAAGACGGGGTATGCCGGTATGCCTATATCCCCTAATTACATGAGTGTCTGCGGATTAATAGATTCGTATATCTTTTGGAGGCGACTCCATGATCTACAGAACAAAACTGTCTGGTTTATCATCTCTGACCGCTTGCGAGTCCGCGGCGTACCGTAGACAGCATAGCAGAGTAGCACGTACACCCTAAAACTGTCTGGTTAAAAAAAAAAAAGAGTAAGCAAAAATCCACAAACACGTTGGATGAACACCCTTCAGACACGCTTTCCGAACTTTGGATGAACCATCCATTCTACATTGGTGTGGTTGAAACAGGGGTCAGGTCAATAGACATACCTGGATCTTCCAACTATGCAACAGTTCTGCCCGTTTCATTTAGTACAAACTAACCCAAAAAGACCAAAAAGCACATATGTGTCTGGCATAGACCCCGCGGAAAAAAAGAAACAGCAATGTAGGTAAATATATGCCAGTCCTATGATATGGAGTGTCTGGGGGTCAGAGTGGCCAACAGCAACGAAGGCTGGACAGTCCGAGTGGCTAGGTGCGAAAGAACCATCGATTCCCTCCGCAGGGCGCGTGGGATTCGCAAGGAAGGCGGTATTCTTGCGGCACTCCCTCTCCCTCTCATTCATCCTCATATCATATCATGCATATATCATGTCATCTCCTCATTCTCCATTTCCCCAGTGCTTCAATGAGACGCCAAGCGAAACACCTGCTTGGGAGTCCACCCAAGCGCGCTGTCGACGCGAGCGCGAACGCGCGAACTCGAAGATGCGAACGGGTGGAAGAGACCCACATGGCACCGAATGACCATGGACCGGAAGACGAAGACTTCCTCTACAAACCCCTGGTATTTTGCAGGTTCCATGTGGGTCTCTTCTAGAGTGCACGCGACGCTGCATGGAATTGGGAGATGTGACAAGTGTGTGTGTGTGTGAAGTCTATTCCCGGCATTCTGCCCGGAAGCCTGTTCACAACTTGGTGAGCAGAACTGCGAAACGTGCGAGCAGAATGCCTTGCCGGCACATGCCTTCTGCCTTGCGTTGGTCACCATCCGTCCCATCTGGTCACGAAGACAACGTCCCACTCTTCGCAGGCCCAGGCTTCCACACCGGAGGCATCATCGGCATGTGCCCAGGGGGGCCGTGCATCATCGGATGCGGAGGCGGCATATGCCCAGGTGGAAGATGTCCTGGTGGAAGATGTCCTGGCACCAAGGATGGAGGTTTTTGTATACACTAAATGCCCATGGAGTATCCGAAAAACAAACATCCGCTGACTCAGCGGACTCAAACATAAGGCTGTGACTCCCAAAAATGTGTGTATTTATATACATGTTTCAAAATGCTACAGATCCAAAAAAAGCACCCACACTGAGTAAGTTCCAAACCACAGGTGGCTCTTTCCTCGGATCTCCCCAGGGCTCCACTCCTGGCATCACCAGGGCATCCGCCATGACCGCCGCAGCGGCCACCGCCGGGTCCTGGCTTGATCAGGTGCGCCACCGGACGGAAGGGACACCGGGACACCACGCGTGGGGTGGTTGGAACCTGTGTGAAAGAGGGAGTCCTGGGCGGTCACCACAAACAATCGAAAGGGTCCTAGTCTAGAGTGATTAGTGATGAGTTTTCAATGAGTGAGGTAAGAGAGAGAGAGAGAGAGCGAATTTCTTGCTTTTCGGTGATTTGCTCTTTCCATCATCGGGAGTGTGAAAACCGCCGCGCATACAGCTGTGCTGTTTCGACTGTTTCACTTCCGGGCGCTGAGAATTGGCTTAACTGAGAGACAGTCTAGACGGCGAATAGAACACTTCACGCGTCTCCCACTCCCAGTCTCCCACTGGGCATCACCCACAGCTGAAAAAAGCACCCTTTTTCCGGGGGGAACTTGGTAGGTCCATCCCAGCTGCTTCTGCAGCGAAACCCAAGGTCGCAAGAACGAGCCAGTTTGACCCAACAAGCAGACGCCATGCGAAGACTGGTTTTCGAACGCCATGCGAAGACTGGTGTTCTGACGGAGGAAACTCACCTCCATCCATCTGTATCTGTAAATCCAGTTGGAGGTGAGTGGACAAAAAATAGATCGTTGGCAAATCTCATTTTAACATTGAGTCAGGATGAAACCAAAAGGGGCAAAAGGAAACGATGCCAACTAGAACTGCATGTTACATAGCAATTCACGAGACAACGAAAAAAACTGCTCGAGATCCCTTCCTTCTTTCCTCCACTCCCCTTAAGCGCGCCTCCATGCTGAACGTCGATCTGCCCCCGTGATCCGGTCAACGCGGTCGGTCAAACAAGAGACAGCGGTCGGTGGTGAAGTTTGTTGGGTTTATGAGGAGTTTCTTCCAATTCCATTGTCAAAGTACATGATGAATGATGTACAGTGTACAGTTTTACTGATAGGAACCATTCAGGTGAGCATGAACGAATTTGGCTTCAGCTCTTTTCCATGCACAGCTTCACCCAAAGACTTGGTGCCCCAAAAACCCTCCTGCTTTCTTCTCCCAAAACGTCCTGAGCTGGGCTTTGCGCAGTGGTTTCCTAGGGTCGACCTGTGGAACACCACGGAACATGGGCTTCGCTGCTCCGCTCCACCTCTGAGCCAAAAAACACCGTCCAAGGCAGCGACGACGACTGCTCGGAAGGGGCGACCGGAACGGAACCGGACCCGCGGGAACCACGTGACGTCCTCGTCGTCCGTTTTTTTCAGAAACGTCCCTTTAACGGGTCCTCGTCCAATAGCGATGCGATGCGATGCTCCGGCGGTCTGTGTTTGGTTGCGTCCAATTAATTGGCAAAAAAAGACCGGGGGGGGGTTCGAGTAACATCTGGAGCGAAAACCATGGTCGATCCATGCCGTTCGGCAGTCTGGCAACTGCGGACAGCCAGACTGTTTGGGTGGTTGCACTGTGCAGACCGGACTGTTCACATAAATTTGGGGACAGTCTGACTAGGGGCCTGATCCTGATTTCGGGTAAACCCTTCACTTCAGGAAACGTATAGTTACATGGTCTTTGGGGCAACTGTCCTTGAAAAAACGATCATCCTCGGTTGATCCCGGTGCGATTGCCCCACAACCTGCAGATGCACAGCAGATGCACAGCAGATAGCACCTGCACAATCTGCACAGCATGATCGGCTTGGCGGCTGTCGCCCCTCTTTTTGCGTCCACCCAGCGACCCACGTAGATCTCGCAAGAGCCATGCTCCGGGGTTTCAAAGTCCACGCGGGTGGCCTCCAAGACGAGCCGCCGACTGAAGGATTGGATTGGAGGACCATCACGACCATATTAATATACTATATATCACCCACTCATCGGACGGTCAGTCAGCCGCGACCAGCACCCAACTCTACAGGTCTCCCCTGGTGGCTTTTGGAGACTTAAAAGTGGCAGGTGGTGACCTGTGAAGTCGGGTGCTGGTACATACAAAAAGTATCAAAACGTTACAAATTGTAGATTGGAGTACATGTCAATACATGTCTGACATTTATCAAGACCTCTAGATACATCAAGACCTCTTAGACATTTATTAGATACATCAGCGTCCCCTTCGACTCTTCCTTCCTGACGTGTCCGATTCAACTTCGCCGTCGAGACGGGCGAATCGACTGGACGGGCGGGTGGAACGTCCCACAGTGGTCAGAGTCGGTTCCGCCTCCAGCCAGGGGCACCACCTACTGGGCACCAGACATAGAGAACCAGCCAACACCCAACCCAACACCCTGCAAGTCAACTCAACTATTTCAAACCTGGTTGCACATGGTGACACCCACTTTTCTAGGGCTTCCGATCTAGTTTGACTGGGATTCGTCCACCAGCACCCTCAGGAGGCCAACAGCTCACCACCACTTTGGGTCGTCTCCATTTCAGCCACCAGAGGAGACCTTGACATCGAGTCGAGTGCTGGTATAGGGTAACTGTGTGTTTGTATGTTTGCTTTTGAACATGTACACAACGACCTAGAGAACTTGCCAACCATTCAGCACTTAGTCAGTTGGGTCATGGTCTACGGAAACGCATAGGCATAGGTCGACATCTGTACAAACCTTTTTGGGAAGCAGGATAGACACACAGATTCAAAAAAAACTTTAAAAAGATGTTTCAAAAGCACCCGGCAACCAGGTCGACCGACGAAACCTGACGGAAACCGGTGGTCTGAAGAGAACTCGAGTTCTGAGCCGTTCATTGATTGAAACAAAGACTCAACATGGGCAGCAACCCCAATGTCATGGACTGCACTCGAATTCACAGAAAGAACAGAAGGATACAGAAGGTAATACGAACGGATGTCAATTGACACGCATAGCAAAGCATGAAATCCTGGCACATTACTCTTGGGGGTCGTCCTTATTGATGCCATTCACCACGGATGCATACCTGCACACCTGCACCAGACCACGAATTCAGGAAAAAACTCCGTAATATGTAAAGCTTTGTGGAGACTCCACTTGCCAGCCTGCAGCTTTGGCAGAATCACCTCCTGGCCCAAGCGAATTGGCTTTGACAGCACCCAGCTACAGTCCTCACCCGATCGACGAGTTCATCGGCTCTGGGAATACCCAAGAGACGAAGAACCTGGTGACTGGGGCTATACCTATTCTATAGCATTCACTGCCTCCCCCATGCATGGTCCTTATCAAATCTGAGATGGCTTTTGGCGGATGACAGGTGGACTGGATTCGTTGGCCACAGGTGTTCTGTTCACGTTCTTGGACGAAATGGCAAAAGGAGCTCTCAGAGTTGTAGCCTTGCGATCCACAACACGTGGATCCACTTCGTGACTTTGAAGGACATGTGGGAAGATGAGGTGCACACATGCCTGGAATTTGGGACATGCTCAAGACATCTGGGTCACCCAAATCCTGCACCGAGCGAGTGTCTGTGCCTTGATGGTCTGAAGATGACGAGTTGGAAACACCCCGAGATGTTCAACGTGATTTCACGTGATGTTGAGCATCTTTTCAGAAAAATACACCTTGTTAGTCTTTGTATGCCTTGGTCGCAGGTGGCCCTACCGGCTCCTTAGCTGTCTAACCACCAGCCACCAGCTAGTTCTGAGATGCTTTATGTGGGTCATCAAATACGCCCTTTTGCAAGCTGTTCTCATCGTTCAAGACATGAGGTATAGTATTAAGGTGCTTGAGGACAAGTGTAAAATGAAAACACACCTTGGACACAGCAAAGGGATAGCTTTCTCAAAGAAAGAGAGTCCTATCTGGCGCATGCTTCGGGCCACCGTAGCAGCGCTTTCGGGCCACCGTAGTTCAACGAGTTCGGGGTAAAGACCAGTCCTTCTACTTATAAAGATTTACAAAGAACATGTCAATTTGGCTTCTGCCTCAGAGTCTCTGTAGTTACGCAAACTGTCGGGACTTGGATGTGTGAACACCTCTTCCACATATCGCCAGCCGCACCTCAGAAAGCCCTCCTCCACGCTCGCGGCGCCGTCCTCCAAGTAGATCCGGTCCGCCGGCGTGCGCTCCCGGTAGGCCAGCACCAAAACGGTGCTCGACCTCATCAGCTCCTGACAGGTCGGCAGCGACGACGGCAGAGAGCGGTGAGGCGGGCGGGACAGATTCCGGGCCGTGGAGGTCCGGGGGACGGCAGAGAGTGGTGCCCAAATGGATAGTGGCACGGGACATCCATACATTCTTACTGGGACTGCCAGGACACCCATTGAGACCTCCGGCCTAACAACCCTCCATTTCGGAGAGCTGTAGAGGCAGGTGCTGGTACTTTTCTATCTATTTGGAGGATCTATATAAAGCCTAGTCCGGAGTGTTGGGTTGGAAGCTGTCCACAGCTTGGAGAGGAAGCTGTGGACACACCTAGACTCGATCTCCCCGATGTTCGGTGAGTGACGACAAGGGTATCTTTGAACATGAATGTGGATGATTGGGTGATCCAGCTCTATAGTGGTCCCCAAATAGATCGAAAAGTAAATCCTCACTCAAAATGTATTGGAAACCTATATCTATATATTTGGGGACCCCTAATAGATTATATAGCATTTCCCAACTCTGTTCGACTTGGTTTTCTATGTCTCACCAGCGTCACCGGTCCACCCTGTTCATCGGAATTCGTGCGACGGTCTCAAATGGCGGCAGGAGATGTTGCTGGACCTTCCTGTCGGTCAAATCCAAAGAAGATCCACAAGTAGGGCCAGGACATTCCAGCCAGGATAAATTGGTAAAGCTTCAAACTGGGGAGACACAAACAGCTGAGGCATGATTAAAGACCTGGTCCTTACGTTTCTTCAACCAAAGTGAGCATGATTCACATGATTGAGTTTGGAACGTTCCTGTCGCCAAGACTGAAGGGACCTACCCGCCTACCCGCCTACCGGGGCTGGGAGGCCATCGATCCTGAAGATAGAACCGAAAATCCTTCTACACCCTGGAAGAGACCCACATGGAACCTGAAAAACCACCGGGTCATAGAAGAAAAATTAGTCTTCCTAGCAGGTCAATGCCATCGGGGTCCATGTGTGTGTTTTTTTTGCTGGGTGTCTTCTGCCACAAGGGAAAGCTCTCTGCGACATCACCCCGTTCACTCCAGTTGCGTTTTCTCGCTGATTTGTGCCACACTCTCCAGGTGTGTTGCCTATCCTGCAAAACTACGTAGGCCTTTGCAACTCTTCCGGACGGAAGAGAGGCCTTGTTCGGCCAAGTGCAAAGGATGGCACATAGGGCCCAGCCTGGCCCAGCACCTCGACGGATGCCATCTGCTCGGTATAATGACGCAAAGCCGGGTGCTGTTCCAACGGGGTTCGTCGGCCGGAGTGGATGACTTGGACTTGAAATTCGCAGCAGCTCGCCCTACACCTTTTCCTTGGTGAAGTGTTCAGTAAAATCAAGGAAACCCATGAAAAATCTGCCAAATGTCTCCAGACTTCAGATATCTTCAGACCTTGCAACTCTCCTTAGTAGGTCGAAAAAAGTGAGTTCAGAGTCCGGCTTCGGCTCTAAACAACCTGGAGTGGGAGTTCGTCCGAGTAGGACCTTGAGATCCTAATCTTGGGTCACGAGTCTTGTGCTTGAGATTGTTTGACTTTATGTTCACGTTGTTCAATCTGTGGAAAGAAACAAAATGATATCTCTTCCATGCACTTCATTCACCGATCTCCCCCCATATGTTCCCCTCCAAAACCAACACCTTGAACTGAGACGGGGACGAGGTCCCGTGCTGTGTGCCGACGAATCGGTGTCTTACTAAGGGTTCTTACCCTGTGGACCACCAGGTAAACCATTCTTTATGGTCACTAGCAGTCTTTCACCGTCGCAGAAAGAAGACCAGACTTGTTCTCTTTTTTTTTCGGGAGTTTGGCCTGATGTTAACCATAGAACAGCTCTTCCGCTCGTGATTCTCTGTTCGATTCCGCACAACAGTTTCGGAAGGCGAGGCCTTGCATCCACTCAGGCATCAAGATCTATTAAGCATCCAGTTGCACGAATTGGTCCGATGGACATGTTCAGATTACTCGATCTAAACCGATCGAAGCCCAGTTCGACGATCTTTTACCCTGTTCCTGGATTGCGGCCACCGCATCAAACATCATCAAACCAGTCTTACAAAATCGTCTAGCTGCTGGACTCTACTCGGGATAGATGCATCGACCGCGGCAAGCTCTCGGTCTCCCATCTCCCATGCCATGTGGGTGCGCAAAACAAGTACGAGGCCGTTCGGCCCCAAGTGCCGCAATGAAAACATTGGAAGGCCCATCCACGGTTCCAAGCTCTAGTTTGATCTATTTTGGGCATTGGTATATACCGTTACTAGCGCCCAGTGCATGATGGTGAGGTTGCAGGCCTGTCTCGAAAAAACGTGACGCATCCTCTTTTACTAGCTGTTACTGGTAGTATCTAGGAGCCCTTGGTCCCTCAAAACCATAGGGATTTGAGGGTACAAACCCCTCCATATGAGGGTCCACAAGCCTCTGGGTACCCTATATATGTATATATATGTAGCTCTATACGTGCCAAATTTATCGAACTACCGCTCAAGGCTACGTCGGCTACGTGAGCTTCGAAAGCTGCCACGGTCGAATCAAGTACCTTACGTTGGAAGGTACTGTGCAGTATTGGCAGTGGATGAGTCGCATCAAACACTGAAAAGCATCGGGAAAAATATGGAAAAATAGACCTGATGTGGTTAAGCCCCGAAACATATTTAAAAACATTGCAGAAAACGACCCGAAAATGATTTCCTCATCTCTTTTCCAGCCCGAAAAGCCTTCGAAATTCGGAGGATGAGACCATCAAATGGACTGGGCCATTGCTCGCGGGTTGGGCCCGCCCTGCTGAACATCCACTGCACAGTTCGCATCCGAGGCGCTGCAGCTCCAGCGACCGCAGCGCACTGACACACAGCAACCATGTGGGGCCGGCCAACGAAGTTGCCAAGGAAGTCGAATCAAGATGTTCAACGTTCAAGCTCTTCGATCTTATAGTGATCCGCCAAAATAGATAGATGGCCTGGTGTCCAATGCATGTTTAGTGGGGATCTACTGTTCTACAGGCTGGCCCCGGTTTCCGTACGGCACGGGTCGTCGCGACGGGCCCCTCTGCAGCTTCGCGGAGCCGCACACACGGTGATGATCCCCAGGTTTGGGGAAGAGGTAAACCCTAGGGAACCTCACCCAGGACCTTCCCAGTGACCGTCCTTGAGATCCCGAGGTCACGAAACGGCCTTGAAAAGGTCACGTATACCAATCCTGAAGAGGTCACTGGGAAGGTCCTGGACTATGAAGCAAAAAAGAACCAAACCAAGGATTGCTGTAACTGAAAACAGGTGAGGCCTTGGACCCAAAAGATGGAAAAATCCGTGTTGTCACCTTTTTCACACCATCTGTTCACCGCCGTCACCGCGTGCGCGGCCTCTGCTCTCTTGGCAGACTGAGATCGATAAACCTGGAAACCCAGTCTCAACCAGACACGGTTCAGGTTGTTCTGTATAAATGTGAGATCTACATAGGAAGTGGGGACTGGAGTTCATTCCAGAACTCTTTCTGGTTGAGACTGGGGTGTTCCTCCACAAACTTCCATGCATCTCCTGGTCTCAAAGAACACGAGCGGTTCGCTCGAAAAAAGCAAGCTCCGGCTCCGACCTGCGGACCTGGGCACCACAGTCCCAAGCATGGGACGGGCCGTCCGTTGGTGAAACTGGTATCTTCACCATAATGAAGATGGAAGCACTGACTCACTGGAAGCTATGGCTGCTAAACTAGTATCTCCCCTTCGTCTACAAGAGCTTTCAAGGCTGGTAGATTCAGAATAGTATTCAATAACATCATAAGTTTGCGGCCTTGATGCCATTGGGAGTTTCAATGCTTTGCTGGCACATAACTGTAACACTCCTCTTGTCAAAGAATGCCTCACCCTCGACTTGTCCAAGGGAGGGGCAGCCAAGAGGAATCTGACTGAAAAAAGATTACACAAACAAACTAACAAGATCATCTGCAAAAGCCGTCCATCCATTCAAACCGATGTGCACAAAGACCTCAAAGATATTGAAGCGCAACCCGGCCGTGGTGGTCTTTCTGGCGACGATCAGCGCCGAATTTCAAGAGAAGCAACACGATCTCTCGGTTGCCTTCCTTGGCTGCGGTGTGTAAGGGATAGGACTTGCGAAAGCCAAACCAGGAGCACTTGGCAGCATTAACACCCTCAAAGTGGTTCAAGTCGAGGAAGCTTTTGATCTTCTGCCAATCCGAAAGGTCCTTTTCCTTGGGCCGGGGCCGTCAACAAAGAGTTTCTCGTCGAAAAACAAACTCCCACCCAGCACAACCATGGAACGGGCCTGTCTCTATCCATAACATTGGTTCCTACGTACTTCATCTGCTTAAATCGCTAACCTTCAATGAACTTTGTCTTTGGTTTTAGAGTCCAATATTCTCGGGTTGATCAATCGACGACGACAAGAATCCTGGTTGGATCATTGAGGTTTCTACCGGTGGAAAACCGTATGCGTTCTTTGTGTCTTGTTGCGTATTGCGGAGCCTGCGGAGCTTTTCTGAGTAGGAATCGATCTTCACTGAGTTTGATCGAGTTTGGCACCGTGGCCACACGGCCAACCCAGCTCGGTCTCTTCTTTCAATGGCTGTGCGCCCCACCTCCGCCGTCGGCACGGCGACCGTGGCGCCGGCAGGCCACGCCCCCGGAGGGCACGGGGCCACCAAAGTCGCGCACTGCGCGGCGTTCGGGTAGAGAGCAGAAAGAGCGCCAGGCGTGGGTGTCGCCGGTTTGCGGAGGCCATGGGTTTGAGAATAGGTCTCAGACTCAGAATTCTACCAGACTCAGAACCGACCCGAAAGAGTTTCAGCAGGATTTTGTGGCATCCACTTCTGGAAATCGTCAGACGCACGGGGCAGCCAAGGCCAAGGCCTGGACAAGGCCGGACAAGGCGGAGAAGACAGGCGCACGGCTAAGCAGGATACACGGACCCGGACAAGGCCCAGACAAGGTCGTGGCCAGCCCCTTTTTGTCCTAAGAGAGAACCCCAACAGTAAAATGTTTGAGAATAACTCAAAGTTGTACAGTTGTACCAGTTTCAATGATTTCGGCTTCACGATGGCTGGCCAACTGCAACATGAGTTTCCTTGTTTACTTGTTCAATAAAGGGAGGCGTGATCCACCGCGGAGCAGGGATATGTCTAGTTCTTGTTGCTTGTGATGGAGTGGGACGCGACAAAATTTGCAGGCAAGAGTTTGAAGCTGAGGGCAGGTCAACCTCCCCAGTCCTAGGAAATAGATTGATCCATTTGCAGGCAAGGCTCCATGAGCGCCTGGCGCTTCCGCTCCTGACAAGTCCAATTCTGGTGATTCGAAGCGGAATCCAAAAAGAGAACCTGCAAAAGAGCGAGCGAGCGAGAGAGAGAGAGAGACTGAAACAATCTTTCGGAGCCACTAGGTTGAACACGGGCTCACCTATATACTGGAGCAGAGATCAATGGCACCTGCACAAAACCTCGAAAATATGATTAACAATTTGGAAAATCATCAACGCACTGCAGCTTGAAGTGCAGGATGCTTTCGTCGATCAACAACAAAAGGAAACACCCATAAAACCTCCCTGGCAGGGGATCTCATATCAAATGAGTCTGAAGTATATATACAAACAAACCAAGAGTCAAAACGCTGGAATCTTCCAAAGGATTTGGCCTGTAGCAAGCCCTACTCCGAAAATACATGGAGGTTGCAACCAGAAAATCCGATACTTCTGGAGAGTAAAGCCAGCAGAAACTAGTCCTGCAACTCAGATACTACATCAAAAGCAATACGTCGCAGATCTTACCTCGCACCATCCAACCAACACACGTTCAACTTATCAACCTTCCCAAAAAGATCAAGTAACTCTCCTATTCCAAAAAGCACCCCCAGACCCCAGAAAAATAAAAATAAAAAAGAAAGTAATCTCTCGAAAATCCCCACTCTTCCGAACTCAGTTCGTCCTTTTTCTCGCAACTCTCCCCAAAAAGATCCACAAAAAATGTAAAAAGCACGGGACTCCTTCGCCTGCTGCTTCCTCATCTTGGCCTCCATCTTTCGCACCGCAACGGCAATCTCTGCTTCGCTGCACCTCACCACATCGCCCGGCTGCATGAGCTTGCAACGGCCACCCACCTGGCGAAAGCACAGAGACCGAACACCGGTGTCCACCGGCCGTTTCTGACTGAAGGACCGAGACTTTCTGACCGCACGCCCCACCTCCGCCGCGGTCAGCAGAAAGCCCCCAGACTTGGAAGGAAGAAAAGAAAGCACTACACCCTGGAAGAGACCCACATGGAACCTGAAAACCGGTTGTAGAGGGAAAATCGTCTTCCAAAGCAGGTCTATGCCATCAGGTTCCATGTGGGTCTCTTCCCACATATAAGAACGGTCAACGTCTCGGCTGGCCCAGTGACCAGACGGGATCCGCTCTTTGAAGGGGGATGACTGTATGACTGTATGACCCTTGCGACCAGACTAGGGGGTAAGCTGGTCTGGTCTACGTTTCGAGTGGACGAAAGACCGACCAATCAGGCCAAATCAGTGATCGCTTTGATTCAAGCACACTCAACTTGCCAACCCCCCAAACACCTTGGAAGCATCGTAGGTGTTCATAACATTCTCCCAATGGAACCCTCCTGATCGCGAAACAAAGTATATATATATATACATTTGCTTTTTTCGTCGGTGGTTCAACATACCAGTATTTCGCTCTGTGAACCACATAAACATCCGCAACCGAAATAACCATCCGCGCTGAAAAAAGAAAGGGTTCGGGAAAAATGCCGGTGGCTCACCAATAAACGCCCGTAGCCTGTGTATAAACGCCCGTTGAATTTCAGACAAACTCAGAAAACTAGAGACACACCGCAGACTCAAATATAAGGCTGTGGCCGCAGATAAAAGAGGGCACTCTGAGGAAGTTCCAGGTATATCATAAAGTATCCTTAAAATTATCCCTCCCTTATCCAAGGAGTACGTCTGTCTATTCTTCGCCGGCAGCGAAGACTAGAAGGACCCATTTCAAAAAAGAAGAACATGCAACACACATGGACGTTGCATTAATTCGGTTGGAGCCCATTAGGCCCATTAGTGGTCCATCTGCAGGTCAGGTCTGCCCGGTTCGTTCGTTGCGGTTCGCAACCGCTGCGGTTCGCTGGACGTGGAGGACGGACGTGGGCGCCGCTTCGGCGAAACCGCTTCGGTTCGGGTTCGGTTCCATCTTTTTCCACCTCCGATCATGAACAAACGAATGAACAGAAAATGAATGAAGTCATGGTTTGACTGACATGGTTCGGAAGATTCTTGAAAAATGATTTTTAATGAATGTCTGTCAAAGGATTCTTGCCTGTGGGGGGAATCTTCCGAAGTGATTTCCCTTCACACACCCTCTTCCCCCCCGAACCTGCTCAAAGACAAATTTGGCCATGTTACTAGCTGCTCTACCAGCTGACTGGACGGTCTCTTCAAAAAATAACTGCAGCCGGACGGCGGACACAGCTTCCCAGGGATGGAAGAAAAGAATGAAAAAGGTCCCATCCTAATGTGACAGATGGTCCAAATTCTTGGTTCCCCCAGCACAGATTGAGATTCACACGAGTTCCCCTACAAAAGGTATGCGGTAAACAGCAGCTAGTGGTCCCATCACTCATGCGTTAGACTCAGTCTATAACCTGCAGGCCTCGCTGGGTTCAGTGCGAACTGGTGGCGGTTTCTGTGCCTTTCTAGTCCGATTGCTCATCCAAGCAAATCATGGTCCAGGAACGTCCAGGGCCATCTCAACAATTGCTTTGTGAAGTGGTTTTCAGCCAAGGATGCAGGGTCAGCAAAAAGAACAGCAATGGCTATGGATGGCTATGGTTCCACTGGCAAAAAAATCACAAAAGCGAAGTAGCCAACCCCTGCGTGAACCGGTGTCAGCACCCGAGAACGTCCACATCCTATCTCCAAATCTTCCATCTCTCAACTCCTTGAGAGCATCAACCAATGGATCTTGCTCTTCAAAATACACCACATCTGCTGCCAAGATCAAGTCCTGCCACCAGAAGCCACGGGTCCGGGGGCCCTGTCGTGTCCCAGTCACCATTCGGGACCGTTCGAAGCGGCCGTTCGAACGGCTGCCCTCCAGGGAGGGGGAAGGAAGCGAAGTGGATCATATCTGATGGCTTGGAACTGCCAGTTTCTATCATTTCACGACAGCCGTGGACAAAACAAATGGAAATCATGCCCACTGACCAGCTATACTTGAAACGCCCACGTTCGCTTCAAGGTGACCCCAGATATCCTCAGATTCCTCAGATTGCATTTTGCCGAGACAGGCCTGTGGGACCAAGTGCGCCATAGTCGAAACGCCCAGTTGTACGGAATATCAAGGTATAAGGTACAGCATAGTCTGCACATCAATGGTAAATCACACCCTTCACAATACTTGGTCCCTCCTTAAACAAGTGCTGGTAGCCTGTGCAGTGTTCAGGTACGAACCCAAGAATGGCACACCCCAGCGACGTACACCTGATCGCTACCCGGATCGCCGATCCAGCACAGCATCCCGCTCCAGTGGCGCAGCATCATCGCCAGCAAATTCGGACCTGAAGTCGAGCAACAAATCAAGCACTCGCACGCGCACCACACACTCACACTCTGGCACACAAACACCCTAAACCCTGAACCCTCCGTTCCAGCCCCTCGGCATCCCTCGGCCTGTCTGTTGCGTATGCCCCAGTCGTAGCATGTCTGTTGGGGGTCATATGTCTACTGGGTCAGTACTGGGTCAGTTGGGTCCGTTCGGTCGGGTCCGGTCCATGGACCGGGAGGGCGAAGGTGGACACAGGCTCTGCGTGTCCGGTGACGTGTCTCGTTCGCTTGCTACATGGTGGGCCGGTCCGGACAGGTCCGGCTGAGGTCAGGGGTGGTCATGGGTCCTGCGAATTCTGCGGGCCTCATTGATCGACATCTTCAATCCATCTCTCAAGACACATGCTGCCAAACGACCACATGCTGCCACTGTGTGCGACAGTTTCAGTTCCTCAAACGATTATCCAAGTGAAACGTGCGCTGAAGCAATATGGAGAGAGCGCCGCCACGTCCTATGTACGTGACAACAGAAGGTATAGGACACCGGTGAATTCCCACATGGCGCAACTCCACTGTATTAGATTCAGCGAAGACGGTGAAAACTCCAGATTCGCATTCATCCTAGCATTTTCGCTGTAGATTTCGCATTCATCCTAGCTGCGTCAATGAAGTCTTGTTTTTTTGCGTTTTTTTTTGCGAATTCAACACCCTCTCAGCCTTGGTCGGCACCAACTGCCCACATCTGAGGCTCGGCACGAGGCGGCAGCACTCCAATCCAATGCCACAGCGCGTGCCGTGCCTGACGAATTCATACACTGGAAAATGCCACTGTCCTGCATCGGAACGAAACCTCCATGGGTCTCTCTGTTGCCAGTAGCATGGGGGGATGACGGTATGCAGCATGCAGCATTGAATATGATGTCGGGATGGGTGATCCCTCTAAAAATCAAATGTTCAAGTTTGGACAGATTTCTGGAAGACTCGTGTAACGCAAGAATGACACAGTCGATTCTCACCAACCTTTGTAACGAAGTCTACCTACCTGTAGAATTGGCAAAATGCCATCAACCATGCATCTGCACTAGCTATTTCAATCCCCCAATAGTATATGCGGGTTGGTCAAAAGGTTGGCCGACCAAGGACGTGGACGCAGAAACCATTCAACATCCCTTAGAAGTTGCTAGAAACTCCTCAGGAATCGGCGCGACCTGCATTTGAGCTGAAACCTTCACCTCTCAGCGGCACGTCTTTCGTCTGCACCCCCGCACGGAGCGCCCGGATCGCACGGACGGGGGGTCACCAGGGCCTGTGAGCTGGTTCAGTGCGATGTTCCTCTCCATCAACGGCACCAGCTCAGCGTAGTCCGTCAAAGCCACCCTGGCGGTTCCACCGCAGAAGGCGAAGGCGGCCGACCCGGAAGTTGCCGGGAGGCCGAGCCGGATCTCAAGGGAACCCAAATGTGACCCCGGCAGGGGTTTAAACATGCGGGAAAGGATGGGAAAAGGAATCGCACCGAGAACGATTCACGAATGAAGCAAAGGCCATGTGAGGTTGAACGTGTCTTGGCTCCCACATCCCTGGCATTGAGAGCCTGGGCAGAGTTCCAACCCAAGTTGGCGTTCACCCCTGTCACACCCATAGCCCAATAGCCTGAATCAACAAAACTGGTAAGGACAATTAGAACCGCTTCCGAGATCAACGACCACAAAACCTCTGAAACCGCATCCACAAACATCTCATAACGCACCGTGGTCAGGTCCTTTAAATCACATCAGCAACATGACGCACAAATCCAACTATCTGACTAACTAACTATAACTCTAACTACAGCTATAGCTATGATTATATACAACTATGTAGTTAAAAACTAACGAATGAACCAACCAACAAACGATCTAAATACTAGCTAGCTAACTAGCCAACCAATGAACAAACTAGCTTTCTAGCGAACTGAATGACTGGCTGGCTGACTAACTAACTAACTAACTAGAGCACAGGGAAGGAAGGTAAAGTAAAGTGAAGTACACCACCTAACTAGCCAGCCAATTAACCGACCAGGCAACTAACCAACGTGCTTACTCACTGAACTTAATTTACCAGTTCAACCGACCAACTAACCAACTACATTCATGCTACTATTCAACAACTCCCAGGACAACTGTCCAAAAACCATCCGGAAACCGTCAACGAACCCATTCTCGAGCCGGTCTCGACCCCTGGCGCCCCCGCATAAATACATGCGGCCCACGAGCGGCCTGGCGCCCAGGCGCGCTGCGGCCAGGCCAGGCGCCCCGGGTCCAGCGCCCAGCTCGAGCACCGAGGCATCGTGGAGCGCTGGCAACAGCTGGGCGCCCGTCTTCGGACACCGAGCAGCGGAAAGGGTGCCTGGAGCAGCGGGAGCAGTGAGAGGTATGGGAATGGTATGGGTTGGAAAAGAATGGGTGTAGGGATGTGTAGGGTGTGTATGGGAGCTCCCGGAGTGTAGGGGTGTGGGTGTGTGTTTACACCTTGGAGTCATGGAGTTATAATAGGCTTCTTCGGAGCTTGAGGTGCAGGTGCAGGGCGGCTTTCTGCGGCCATGACGGACTAAAGATCACTCCGCGGGTTCTGCAGCTTCTGCGGACCTTTGCGACGAACACGGTACCTGGTAGCCATCATAGCCCTCTTCACGCTGTTGAGGTGCGACGTCTCCAGGTCGGCAGACTGTCGAGGGCGCCGCTCGCATTCTGTCGGGGAACCCTTCGACTCATGGGACGCGCGTGTCTTGGGACACGTGATTCCTCGCTCGGACACCGCGGTCAAAAAAAACCTCGTACCTGTCATGTCTGTTGAAGCCTGCGGTGACTCTTCAGGGCTTCGGAAGTCCGAGCTCTGTGCCCCCCGTGGACCAGCCGAGCTGGTGGATGCAGTCTGGTAGGGCACAGCCAGCCATGAGGCATACGCAAATACCGCCATAGCGGCCCAAGTTCCTTTGGATATCCAATTGTAGCTCGTATCGACCTTGGCTGTTGCCTGTCCTTTTTGTCCTTCCATTTCCTTCCCTTTCTTTTCTTTCTGTGGTGTGTTCTTGGCGGCTTGTGCCCTAGCTGGGAACACCCTGCTTTTCTTTTTCTTTGGGGTGCGCCCCTTCAATTGCTTGGGTCATAGCTGGAGGCACGGCGTGTCCCTCGATGCTTGGGTCATAGCTGGGAGACTCTTTATCTTTCTTTATATTTTTCTTTTTCCCTCTCTCTCTCACATACGGCTTGGAGCTTAACGATAGAGAGAGAGAAAGAGAGAGTGTGTGTGTGTGTCCCCTCTGGATTCACGAGGTTCCAGTCGGAATGTGTTCTTTTCCTTTTCCGTGACAGCAGGGGGCAGTAGCCCACTCATGAGTCTACTGCCAACGAAGCTGCTCATGAGTTGGGAGGATATCGGAGCTGATCACTCCGACGTACCTGCTTGGTTGTGGCGTTGACAAGCTTGCACTCCAATCTTCACGTAAAGGGCTAATGAATTCTGCAGACGTGCACGCACCGTCGTCAGCCTGTTCGACCCGCGATCGTCGTTCGTTTCCTTCCTTTTTGGGCCACTTCTCCGTTTGAAGACCACCAGGCTTCGCTGGTTCCCTACTGGTACTCTTAGGAAATGGTAACCTAGGCCGGCGTGTGGCACCGCTGTCAAGTCAGTACGCATTTCCATAAGTGTGTCAGAGGTTTCGTCGGAGTTTTAGAAAGGTGCAGGGGGCATGCGGCCATTACGCAAACACCCGCTAACGAAGCTATGCAGAATTGTGGATAGTAGATACCGGACTCGATCAGTCCGGCGTACCTGCACTTTCAAGAAATGCGATGTGTGACGTTTTCTAACCATGCACGTTCTCTTCTGTGCATGAAATATCCAAAAAAGAAAGTAAGAAGTGAACAATCGGTATAGTTGTTTTTCGCAGCTGGATTCATGTCGCGGTGGGTTTGGTACCCCCATAACCATCTGGACACAGCCCCCGCCTGAGGCCAAAGCTTTGGCCAACAGAACTCCTGAGGGCCAAAGGCTGCTTCCAATGCGGTATTTCGGCCTCAGCGTCCATGTGTTGAAACGCGCAAAAACACAGGGTGTCTCCGATGGTTGTTGCTAGTGATTTGGTCGATCTGGTGGTTTCGTTCGGCTCCTCTTTGGGGTCTTTTCAGGTGTTTTCAACTTCAGATCTGAGGAAAAAAAAGGAGCTTCGCAGCGGTTTCACCTCACCGGATGAGGTTTCTCACCGACGTCCTTTCAGCTAAGAGCCCTGCAACCCGAACCGCGGTTCACCTCACCTCACCGGCGCCCAAACCGGGTGATCCAAGGCACGGCGACCACCCCGGCGACCCCCGACCCCCGCGGCGTCAGACGCGATGCAGATCCGGAGAGTCCATGAATCCAAAACTGAGAGTCACGCTTCGTTCGATTTCTTCCAATGGTCCTTTCCTTTGGGCCCGAAAAGACAGAACCGTCTGGCCGACTTCGGAAGGGTCCTAACAAGATCCATCCTCCTTCTCACCGTCCAGAAGTGGTGGAAGTGGTGGATGTGGTGCGAGATGATGTTCCACTCCGTGGAATCGAGTCATTTCAATGTCATCACTGGCAGTGACACCCATACCCCATACACAAGACGAATGGGACTCCAATCACCGACTAATTGGGGCAACTTGACCTGGGGTGAATGTAGGTTGATATGCCAGTCCCATTGGTCGGAGTGTCTGTGACGTCCCAGTAGCCACGTCTCGATATGTAGCGCGAAGGGCCCCAGGTCGATCTCCTGCCCGTTCGGGTTTCATCTGCACGTAAGTGCCAGGACCGACCCTGTTCGCCCAGTGGTTTTGGGACACCCCTTCAATCACCTATTTGTACAAGGCTAATTTGCAGACCCCTCGAACGGAGGGTGCTGGTGGAGGATTCCTCCGCTGGTGGATTTCGCTGCTTCCTTTCGCCTTCGCCGTGCGTCGCCCTTCGTCGTTGATACCATCCGAGCTCACCCTTAATTCACTCCCACCGAGACGTGCAAGGCGGAGAGAAGCACAAAGGAAAGCACCACGAGGTGGAAGCGAATCCGGATGAATTTGGCTAGAGTCTATTAGACTCGTCCCAGAGATTTGGGTCCATAAGATGCAACTGACCCGGAAACCATCAAAACTCCTATACTCTCCCGGGAACTATCATGAAAGTGGAAAATGGTCTTCCAAGGGGCCTTTTCTACTTCCATGCCGGTTCCAGGGAGTGTAAGTACTAGAGTCACTAGAGTCAGCCATGCCTCAATCAGCCCCTCTCAAGTCAAAAGCGGGTGGATGTCCATGTGGCCGATGACCGATTCATACACATGTCCATGGTCAGGGAAGCTCCAGTGGTAAGTTCCGAGATCTAGTGGATGAGTCATACTTGTAGGGAGAGGAAGGACTCTGGAGACCGAAAATAGATGGATACTACTCCCCTGCAGACTAACATGGACTCTCAAAATCGTAGAGGAAAATGGTCTTCCAGGGTCCATGTTAGTCTGCAGGTGGGTACCGTCATGAAACTCATGCAACTCATGCAACTTAGTCAAGACATCCAAGGCGTCCCAAACGGACGACGTGCGAAGGGGCACACCAGATCCCCTGGATTGTTTCTTGGTTGTGTTTAGTTTCGAATCCTCACCAGCTGGCAGCTAGCAAGCAAAAAGATCGCTCAGCCCCCCATGCTCACCTCCCCTCCTGCACTAAAGGAAGGGGCACGGCCGTGCCCGCCGCATCCGCCTGGTCCTGCCGCATCCGGCGGACCTTCGCCCTGCGCCCAGCCTGTCAGATTCTTCCAACCAATCCACATGACTTGGAGAGGAACCAAGCTCGGAGGTGAGGTCCGGGTGTGGTCCGGGGGTAGCCCAAAAAAGAACTCCCCTAACCAACCATCCACATGCCTTGGGGAATCCTATCCTGTTAGAGTGCATATATTCATCTGAGTCTGAGTGCTCATCGGATGCGAGTGTGCCTGCCCCGCCCGGTCACACTGTTGCTGACACGCCCCTATTTCATGCCCGTCGCTTGACCCACGGGGCGGCGCAAACGCAAAGGCACCGAAGGAAAGAAACAGAAGCCAGACTGATCTCCTTGAGTAGTGCATTAATGTGACCAACTCCAGCAAAATGAGGTCCGTTCCTGACCCTTTGGGCCCACCTGCCAAGAGAACTTATCGATTGAAGCTGGTGTCAGCACTGCGCAGGGCTGGCAAGTCTGCCTTCCTCAAGCGAACCTGAATTCTACCTGGGTTCTTGGGCAACAGCCCTGCTTGAAGGCCCAGATCTTGCAAGAGTTCCAAGCTCGCCTGACGCACATCCGTAGTGTCCCAATCTTTCCGGGACTTCCCATACCCAGTAACGATCAGGCATTTCAACTCCTTCTCCTGCTCCAGCTTCGTGGCCACTGCAGTGGAGAGCCAGTGACACAGCACCAAACGAGCAGTTCCCTCTGATAGGTCATGAAGGTCGATCTTTGAAGCGTCACATCCCCGTAACTCCTGGAACTCTGGCAGCCCGCTTCGCAAAAACAAAGCTCTGCCAACAGCACTTCTCTGGATTTCTGAACAATCAAATAAGGCGTTGTAAGCTACCAAATTTGGCTGAACTTTCATCTCGGGCATGGCCTCAAACAACTTCAAGGCTTGCGGCCACTGCCCGCCCTTCTCACAGGCA